ATCAGCTGCCCCAAAGATGTGGAAAGACCTGCTGGAAGAGCTCTGGCAGCTAAATGAGCTGCTTGAATTTAAAACTCATCTCAAGTTCTATCTCTTCTGTCAGGCCTATCCAGCCAGTTTTAAGCATGAATTAAAAACATGTGTCCTGTCTTTTAATCTCTGTCCTGTGTATTTAATATGTATTATATGGAAATACGTTTTAATATGTATCTTTTATAGAACTACATTTTAATATGTGTGATTATAGAATTTTTGCAATGTTTGTGTGTTTGACAGTGCTGTAACCAGCCTTGAGCCTTGAGGAGAGGCAGGTAAGAAATAATAATAATAATAATAATAATAATAATAATAATAATAATAATGCCAAATCCAGTATCTGCGGGCACTCAATTTACTACTAAGCCCACACTGAAATAAAATGATCTTAATTCTGCCATTTGCAAGTGAGAAAGGTTCATATCGTGCTTGATCGAACATGAAAGGAGATTAAGATTTTGAGCTTTCTAGGACTCTCATAAACAAGACCCATTAATGCAAACTTTGCAGATATGTTACATTTTAGTTATATTTTTTTCAGCTGATGAACATGTTAAGTATTCCCAATTACAGAGGCAGGAAAAATCATGACAAAAGCAGCCATTAGCAAGATTGACAGTATAAAACAAAACAAATGGCATTGCTGCATCCTTCACAGAAGGCATATTCAGTGTTCATGTACTTTCACAGATACATAACATTGTTCCAATCTCTCTAAAGATTTTTTTTAAAAAAAGGCTTATCTTGCCACCTAGTTAATCCAGCGAGAACTCCATTAATGCAAAAAGAACTTCACCAGCCAATTACAAAGCTTACTTTGTTTTTCTTCCATCATCTCTGTATCAAGGATGGAAACAAATAAATTATACTTACTTCTCAGTGTCTACATCTATTTTAGGGGGGAAGCAATGCTGAGAAAACAAAGGAGCTTGTGATGACTGCAATAAAACAAAAAGAACACTTCTTTCCCCCCTAAAAAGGTCAGAAGGAAAGTGTCTCTGAATTCCATTAGTTGCTGGCTTTCATTCTGATTCTATACTGGCTGCAGGATTATTTCAATCAATACTGCCTTTTGTCCTTCAATCTCATGGATTCCTGATTCAGCAGGCTTCAAACTGTTATCAATTACAGCAGCAATGGGAGATCAAGTTTTCATGAAGGCCCCCAAAAAGTCGTGACTCTAGGAGAAGTGCATAGGGTGCCTTCCTGTCTGTATAACCAGAGTCCTTTTTCTATTAATAAAGCAGTTTGTAATTTGCCTTTGCTTCTACACATGGACCCCCAATGGCATATACAGTCAGCAGTAAAAAGAACAATAATAAAATAACAATGACATTGATGTAGAACAACAGACACGACAACATAACAATATTACATAAAAAGGAAGGAAGCAAAACCTTCAAGTTGCTTTTATGCCAAACCATGCTGAACAATCTCAGCAGGTGTGCCATAATTTGAGAAGGCCCTAACATGTTATCTAACAGCTACATCTCAAATGACAATGAGCATGTCAAGGACATCTCCACATGTTATTCAAAATACCCCAGCCTTGAGAATCAGGGGTCAGCAGAACATTTGAGATCTATTGGTAGATACCTGGGTGATTTGAAGTAGATTGGAAAATGTATGATCTAATTTGTTTAAAATCTGGATTTTTTTTAATAAAAAAGTCCTTTAAGTATATCCATCCCTGGTGAAAATAGGTAGCATGCATTCTACATCTATGGCTTCTCCCCAAATTAAATGATGTACTCCTTCTGATTCTTCAGCAGCTGGCAAAATCCTGGGGTCTTCATGGGATAAATTTAGACCAATATCTCCTACTTTCTGATTTTAGTTCCTAGAGTGACATGCAATTTGAAGCTAGAGAAATAGGAAGGAGTCAAGGTCAGCAGAACACTTAAAATATTAATCCACATAGACCAATCAAGGTAGAGTGATTCACAAAGAGGTCAGACATATCACAGGGTCAATGAAAAAGTATGATTGATATCCAGGTTATCTTCTCATTCTTGTCTGGCTTATTTCTTCTCTGGGTAACGAAACTGAACAGATCAATAGCCCAAAAGTGCCATGAGATGGCTCATTTTTTTCAATTTAACTCAACAGAATGTATCCCTATCAAAGACATTATAATTTTTTGAGAAAATATTGTGCAAAACAATTCTGCCAAATAAACTTCTGCAGCTGTAAACAGGCACTGGGGCTCTTGCCTAGTTTGCCATTTTAACCATGCACTTTTCCTCTGGGACAATGGTTTGCTATTTCTATAAAGACATCCAACACATAAATACATTCACTGCTGGTCTATCAATGCTGATGTCTCCAATAGTTAAGCTCTCTGTGATAGTTATATGACAATGAGTACATTTTTTATTTCTCTCCGCAAAACTGAACTTCCCCTTAACTTCAGCACCAGTGGAGCATAAAATTCTAGTACTATATTTACATGGAAATCTCCAACAGTGACAGCTACAGCCAGGTGACAATATGATGGGCACCTTTACTAATCAGTGGTTGTTTAGAGGGGGAGTCCAGCTGCACCCAGTACCATACAATAGCAGTTGTACAGCTGAGCCAAAATCTATGTGTAAGGAAGACATTTGATACCTCCTTACGCCATTTCTGAAAAAGTATGAACCTCATTTATGTAAGAATAAGTCACCAAAAAGCATCTTCTCTGAAATAATTAATTCATTCATTCTCCTGTCCCTGCTACTTCTGGGATTTCTGGAACTAGAGTCAGACTTACTCAAAACAATCTAATGTGAATCGAATGACAAAGTGGTCCATTCTTAATCCCTACACTTCCAAAGGTCTCCCAGAAAAACAGCCCTATGCATCAACCAGATTTGCCAAAAATGGGATTGTCCTCAAAGCTCATGACAAGTAACAATGAATTTTTTTTCAAAAAACCTCATCCTGAGAAAGCACAAAAGTGATAAATGCAATAGGTGATACATTATGGAAACACATATTAGCCATGTGGGTTCTTCCCTGTAAGGCTGCTGGGCATGAATTATTGAAAGATCAAAATGCGCCACCAAATCACTGACTTTGAAGAATGCATATGGTTTCTGACTATGCCACTAATGAGCAGCATGAAAAACCTCTCTCTGTAGTCACTTGCAGTCAAGTTGGGCACTGGGTCTGCCCTTGAGGAATGTCAGTGTTTCTTATTATCGGCTGAAATTACACAGTGTTCTATATCTAATTAATGCAGGTGACATAAGTGCTTAAGCTGGAGATGGAAATGCCAGTTACATTTTAGACTATTAAAAAAACACACTGCCATTTTTTGAAGTTAAACCTATGCTCAGTAAAACATCACATATTTTCCCTGGTGGGATAACTACAAGTCTTAGATTAGTTTCCTTTGCCTCTATAAGAAAACAGTGATAGTAATTAAGCAGCAATGTTGCCATTTTTGCTAGGTACCTATGAAGTGAGATCAGACCTGCAAAAGCAAATTTCTGACCAGGTAGATGATTCATCCCTGGAAAACAAAGTGGCTTTTATGGGTACAAGCACTGCCCCCTTCAAGTCTACTCTGTATTTGCCTCTTGAGTCATCTCTGCATCCTACAATGGCTGCATCCTAGACAAGTTTGCATGTAAATTACTGAACTGTAGTCCTTCCCACTTAATTCTGCTTTAGTACATTGTTCATGCTGTATGATATACTTGTTTGCTCAATGATAATTTACAGTTCATTGGCAGCAGCAGGGGATCAAAAGTGATTGTTTTATTGTTGTTATGCGTCTTCAATTCAACTCTGACTTAACAACTCTGTCAGTTTTCTTGGCAGTTTTCAGAGGAGATTTGTCACTGCTTAGGCTTAGAGAGCATGACTTCCCCAATGGCATGTGGTTGGGTTTCAGTGGCCAAGCAGGGAATCTTAATCCAGCACTTAGACACGCCACTATGTCAACAAAAATATCTTAAAACATATTGTATCCTGTTTGATTGCAGACATTACAGACTTGATCAAGCAATTTTTTGTCACATTTAGTGGTCAGCAGAAAAATGTTAATTGGTCCCTTCTGGGAAACTGTGGACCTTGGCAATCCATTGTCCAGAAATACTTTTATGCAAGCTTGTGCACAAAACAGGATGGACTAACTAGTACCAAGTTCTTCCAGCACTGTCTCAGAAAGTATAAGTACTTATTGTTCTAATGGGACACATGTGAGCATGCCAAGTATTTCTTGTTCTAAATACAGTGCTGAAAAGCTGAGAAGGTTTTTGTGCAAAGTTTTACGACCTACTTAATAAACAGTGATCACAGTCATGCCGAAAGTAGTATTGTGTCATCACGCAGTGTTCTCAGCAGTTGTTACACAATTTAGAGAAAACCAAAAAGAGGAATTAAAAAAGAAACTCTAGCTAGATCATCTAGAGTTCAAGATTTAAGCAACATAAATTGCCTACACACCACTATGGGAGCATTGTCACAATTACAGCACATGCATCTCCACAGCACTCAGTTAAGTTTTCAGTGCATTGCTCTGAAATTGGACACATAGATATATATATTCACATTTCCTGATACAAGAGATAATTCCATAAGAAGTGGCTTTAAATTACAGTGTAAAAATGGATTCCCAGATATTGAACAGTTGAACCAATGGATATTATCAGCCGATGGCATATCCCAGTTGTTTCAAAGAACCAGACATGGAAACTAAGCATGCATGGAACAAATGCAGTGTCTTGTAGTATGATTTATGGACTCTTGGTTTGCATTCCCTTCATTTTCAGGTTGTTTAAATATAGCATAACTTATTAGTAGGTAGAATTTGTCAGTTATCCATTGTTCTTCCCTGATATATCAGATTTTTCTCCCATCAAAGGCACTTCTGGATCAGTGCAGGCTTCTCTTCCAAGGGCAAAAAGGTCCCAGGCAACCATAAATTCATCCAGGAGGTTTCCACGGGACCCTGGGTTTTCCCCCGTTTTTTTAAAAAATCCAATTTAGGCTAAGTCGTTTTAAGTCCAAGTTTCCATGGGAACCATGGATTCTTTTGTTCCAACAGAAGGAAGCAAATTTTCTTCATCTAGAAAACGAAAAGGGAACTGGACTAGAAATCCTCGGATCTTCTTGAGTTCTTCTGCTGCTTTTGCAGGATTCTCACAAGCAAGTTTTGGTATGGTGATGAATTCCCGTAACTGGGCTAAGTTGGTTACCTGGTCACTGGGAAGGCATCGGAAAACCTAATTCAAGAAATGTTAGATGAGATAAAGGATAGAAGTCATTAGAAGAGCATAACATTACTAAAGCTCTAGAATAGAACCATTTATATTCCTGTGTAAGTCAACCTCATTTGAGGGCAGGTTTGGCAGCCAATGTTATGGATGTAGATATGACCTGTAGGGCAAGATGGATGGATGGCATCCTTGAAGTGACTGGACTGACCTTGAGGGAGCTGGGGGTGGTAACGGCCGACAGGGAGCTCTGGCGTGGGCTGGTCCATGAGGTCACGAAGAGTCGGAGACGACTGAACGAATGAACAACACAACAACAACATGACCTGTAGATAAGTAAAAGGCCATTGTATGAAGAGGGAAAAGTCCAACATTAGCATTTTCACCCAGACAATTCAAATAGGCCAAAAAGTGGTGCCATGGTGGTGTGCGTGTGTGTGTGTTTTGTTTGTTTTTTTTTGGGGGGGGGGTGTCCAAGGCTTCTTTTGGGTTTTTCTATGATGACCTAAGCCCTGCTTTTCAGTACTCTGTTCAGAAAAGAAGACAAATCTCTTTAAAATAAAAAATAACATTGACCCGTGGATAAGTAAACCCCAGTTTTTTAAGGCTGATTTTTAGTACTAAAATGTCTAGATTTATATATGTAAAAGGTAAAGGTAAAGGTTTTTCCTGACATTAAGTCTAGTCGTGTCAGACTCTGGGTAGTGGTGCCCATCTCCATGTCTAAGCTGAAGAGCCAGTGTCCATAGACACCTCTAAGGTCATGTGGCCAGTGTGACTGCATGAAGTGCTGTTACCTTTCCACAGAAGTGGTACTTATTGATCTACTCACATTTGTATGTTTATGAACTTCTAGGTTGGCAGAAGCTGGGTCTAACAGTAGGAGCTCACATTGCTCCCTGGATTCGAACCACCAACTTTTCAGTCGGCAAGTTCAGCAGCTCAGTGGTTTGACCTGCTGCGCCACCAGAAAATTCATCTCCAATCTCAAAATTGCCCGAATTATTTTAAGAAAGTCATGCTGCCTGCATTTAATTGACAATATTTGCTAAGTTTCTTCATCTCTCAGACTTTCTACTTTGTGGAGGAAAAAAATGAAATATGTTGGTGAAGATTTTCAGGCAAAACTAGCAAACAACTAAACTCTGTAAAGTCTAACCAACATTCTTTGACTCCCTATTTGTCTAGATTTACCTTTTAACCTACAAAACCAGGTCATCTGCACTTCCCTTTACATCTTTCAACAGCAAAAGGTACAACAGCGACAAATAAGTATTTTACCTTATCAAAAATGGTGGCATTGCGTGCAGCTGTAGCAACCCACACTTCCTTGAAGAATTTGTCACTAACAGGATCTTGGAGATCATTTGCGTCAACTGAACTGCCAAAGACAACTCTGAGGACGGGAGAAAATAAGGAACACATGAAAATGTAACAGTATTGGTACTTTGGGATGATTGTTCTTGGAATCAAAAATACACAGTAAAAAAGGTGTTAGGGAAAAAATTGAAGTTTCCTGAGTCAAAGACAACCAAAGTTTGAAATTGATTATGAAGTTTCTGATTGCCCTGTCCTGTTTTTTTCATACTGTCCAGGTGGATTACCCAAGAGTTGTGGATTTCAGAGAGGCAGATATATGTCAAAGAAAACCCTGGTTAATTTACTCCGTGGCAGCTCCCCTGCCATTCATCTGGTCAGTTTGATAGCACTTGCAATTCAAGAAGCCCTGCTAATTGTATTTCACACTCTGGCAGTGGCAGCATTCATTTTGGAGAGACTTTTCAAATAAAGACGCCTTTAGATGAGAAGACAGTACATTAAGGAAGATTGGGAAGGGTATTGTGTACATGTGGCCAGACTTAGTGTAAATTGGATGCAAGTTTTCAAGCTGGAAATGACAAGAGGTTAAATCATAAATCAAAATGATGGCATCATAGGAAGCTTCCTCATGCTGAGAAAGATGTACAGTGCAAAATTACAGCAGCTTGATACCATTTAATTTGCCATGGTTTTATCCTACAGAACCTGAAATTTGTAATTTGTTGAGGTTCTTCAAATCCTCTGCTAGAGACCTCTAATCCATCCCCTGCCAAATACAACACTAGAGCTCTTTAACAGAGAATCTGAAATACCAAATTACACCAAACTACAAATCCCAGAATTCCATAAAATGGAGTGATGGAAGATACAATGATATCAAATTACTATGAGCATGGCATGTGTGGACACATGCCAGGTCAGTTAGTCGCCCATCAAGCTCATATTGTCTACTTTGACAGGCATCAAGTCTCAGGCTAGGAACAATCTTTCCTGTAAGTGTTACTTTTAACTCAGGAGGCTGGGATTTTCTGGAGGTAGAACATATATTCTACCATTGAGCATTCTCAACCAACAGCAACATTCCCAATCTGTTGCTCTCCAGAAGTATTGAGCCATAAACTCTACCGCATCATTCTGACATGGTTCCCATGCTGGCTGGGAAGTTGAGGTTGAAGTCCAACACTGCAAGGTTCCAGGTTAGAGAAGGCTGGGACACTGGATTTTAGTCCAACATTGTAACTATGAGATTGTTCTTCTGGAAACTAGCGACATGTGTCCATGTCAAATACAGAAAGTCATAAGAAGAAATGACATACCATCCCCAAACACATCCTAAAATTTTCTCTTACTTGAGAATAACAAGGCTACTGGTGTTAAGTACTTTGATTGATGACAACTAAGGATCTCAAAACTGGGCTAGAGACTGCTTATAACTCTGATGATACGAAGTGGTAATACTGGACTTGACAGATCAGTGGCCAGACTTGGTATGAGATAACTTCTGATGTTCCCTGTTGCCTTTCCTATTAGCCTCCAAACTCCAAAAGGCCTCAATGGGAAATGGACAGCATATTGGGAGTATTGCAAATGGATTTAAGATATCCTCATCTCATTTTGGTTCATGATTTGAGCACTAGTGCAAAGAACCACCACATTTAAAAACCAGACTATCAATTGAGGTTGAACTGAAATGTTCCTTTCTTGACATAGAAAAGGTCAAAATAGACATGACAAGAGCTAGCTACTTTGGTTTAATTGCAGCACATACATATATTGGGATGGAAGCTTCAAAAAAAAAAACAAAAAACAAAACACCTCTATATTGCAGCAAAAGATATACTTATTTTCTTTTCCCTCGCCACCATGTCAACAAGAAGTCTCTATACTTCTTAGAATGAGCCAGCATGGTGTAGTGGTTAAAGTGTTAGATCTGGAGTCTGAAGACCAGGGTTCAAATGCACACTAGGCCATAGAAACCCACTGGGTGACCTCAGGCAAGTCAAACTCCCTAGTTTCATGGAAAGGGAATGGCAAACTCCCTCCAAACAAATCTTGCCATGAAAATAGGGTCACATTAGGGTTGCCATGGGTCTGAAGTGACTTGAAGGAACACAATAAACAACAAAGTATCTTCTTGGAACACAGAATCTCAGTACTGACTAAAGATTCTCTTAAGGGTTTCTGACAAAAATATTCTGCAGAGCTTGGAAAAATCTGCCTTTTGAAACTGTAATACTCAGAATCTTCTAGGCAGAATGACCATGGCAATTGTTCAGAGTTGTAGACCTTCCTAGAGAACCCAGGGATTGAACCTATGGCCTACAACCTACCACTTCGAGTTGCCAGAAGGCTGAGAGGGGCGGTACACAAATACAGTAAATAAATAAATAAATAAATAATAGGCACAAAACTGCTACGGCTGCACCTCACTTACTACCTGCAGTGGACACCCCACTATTTCTAATAATAGAGATGCCCCTGCCCCCTACCCCCCAACCATGGGAGGGCAATTTCTTGGGCTGCAAAGAGGAGTCACTGTTTCCTGGTACTGCTAATTGATAGCAGTTTCATCAGTGAAAAAAACACATTTGATTACATAGATAATTGACAGAGTGACGACATAACCTCAAGGCTGTAATCCTACTTAGTCTCCTGGTAATAAACTCATGCATAAATCTGCACTGTAAAATTGGGAAGATCTATTGTTTGTAAAGTGCTAGCCATCCGCTGCCATGCTTTGCTGTGGTCCAGTCTAGTGATCTGGAAAATAAAGTAATGCGAAAGTGTTGGTTTCTTTATAATTTCTTTATGCTTGTGAGTAAACAGTATTTCTTTTTGTTCCTTTGTCATTGTTGATGTAGAGATTGACTGGTTTGCCTACTCTGGTACATGCAACACATTATTGTCCTTCTTTAGGGGTCTCTTTCAAATTTATGATACATATCTTTCATGTGTGTGTGTGTGAATCATATATATCTATCTATATCTATGGCTGGATGACTCTTTGTCGGGAGGGCTTTGATTAATGTTTTATTGCCCTGGTGAAGGGAGCTGGACTGGGTGGCCTTAAGGCAGCATTGCTCAATCTGGGGATCAGTACCCCTGGGGGAGTTGCAAGGAGGTGTCAGAAGGGTTGCTAAAGACCACCAGAAAACCCAGTATTTTCTGTTGGTCATGGGGGTTCTGTGTGGGAAGTTTGGCCCAATTCTATCGTTGGTGGGTTTCAGAATGCTCTTTGATTGTAGGTGAACTATAAATCCCAGCAATTACAACTCCCAAAGGTCAAGGTCTATTTTCCCCAAATTCAATCTGTGTTCAAATTTGGGCATATGGAGTATTCGTGCCAAGTTTGGTCTAGATCCTTCATTGTTTGAGTCCACAGTGCTCTCTGGATGAACTACAATCCCAAAATTCAAGGCCAATGCCCACCAAACCCTTCTAGTGATTTCTGTAGGCCATGGGAGTTCTGTGTTCCAAGTTTGGTTCAATTCCATCATTGGTGGAGTTCAGAGTGCTCTTTGATTGTAACTATAAATCCCAACAACTACAACTCTCAAATGACAAAATCAAAATGTTTTGAGTGATGGTCACTCCCTGGGTTAGAAGGTGCCTTGTGGACTAATTTGGTGGCAATTAATCCAGCGATTTTTGAGTTATGATGTCACTCAAAACAAACAGAGCATATATATATAGAGAGAGATGTTTCATCATGACATTTGACATGTGTGATACCTAAAGCACTGAAGGCGGAGAGACTGAGCAAATCTTCCAGCTTTGTAGTCCTCTCCATCCATGACAGAAGGAACAGTGTCCGTGTCCTGCACAACAACAGCCATTTCACTGTCACGTTTCCCTAGCATGCTGCGGTCATTGATGTTAGCTGAGCCTATTAGAGAGAGGGTGGAAGGAGGGAAAGCTACTCAGAAAACACTTGGTATCAACAAAGCAATTCACTTAAAATACTTGGAAGTACCACAGCAATTTACAATTCAGATTTGACCTTAATGCATACTAACACTGGTTCTAATACATGAAGTTGAGCTTTATTATAAGCAAAATAGTTCAAATTTGGTGATGCCATTCAATTAATCTGCCACAGGAGGACAAAAAGACCATAATTTGTATGCTTCACCCCAATTTCATTGATAGGCTTTCTCCAGACTATTTATTTATTCATATTCCAGTGACTGTGATCAGGCAGGTGGAGGATAACACTCTAATCATGCATTTCCTTGAGCCCCAAATAAAAGAAAGCACGGGCATGTGTATATCATTAACAGTTTTCAGGTCAGTATTATTAGAGGAGGAAGAGGACTTTTTTTCTTTTTAAAAAAGAGTGCTGGTGTGGAATAATTGCAAAAGCAATTGGAAATTGGTCAATGAAAGGAAACCTTGGAAAAGTGCAGAATATCCAGCAATCCTTCTAAAATAAAGATGCTAAACGAGTTTCAATAATACTGGGTTTCCCCAAATCTCATCTGCATTCCTGTCACGTTCTCATTTGAAATCAGATTACAAAATGTTGCTCATTCCTTCTTGCAAAGTAACCGGTGTATTTTCTACATTAAAAAAACACACACATATTTTCACACATTTTAAAATTTATGCATTTCTGTATGCAATCTTTCATCTTACTAAATGAAGTTTCAAATATATGGTTTTTTAGGGGTATGTGTATTAAAAACATGGATTTTTAGGAGGCTCACAATCAATTTTCACTAGAAGAAATGGCACAACTTATACTCGAAATTTAAGCAACTGGGATATCTCTGTTAAGACTAAAACCCTTCACTCAATTATCTAGAAGTAAGCCCCAGTGAATGGAATTGGAATTAAATTCAGTAGATAGCTATAGGATTGTGTTGTCACTCTACTAATGAACTCTGACAAAACAAGGTAGATAGATCAATTTGTCAGAGTCAATGGGATTTGCTATAGCGCCTTTCCTGACCAGCTTCCCATTTGGGGATATCATAACCAAAATCATGATTTATTTTCCTTAAAACAGAATTCATGGCTACCAGGAAGAGATGCATGCAAATCCAATCCATAATTTATTCATACAGTCTTTTTTTTTTTGAAAAACAAACTTTGATTGCACTTCTTAACCTGGAGTATTTTCCGAGCACAATGAGAATTCCAATATATTCCAATGCATCTCATTTTAAGAGTAAGCAATAACATTACATATGAATTGTAAAATGTACTTTGGCCACTGGAGTGTTTATGAATGCATAATGAAAGGTATTTCACAATGGGTAGGATGTCTGTTTAAAGTAAAGTAAAGATATAGGTTTCCCCTGACATTAAGTCTAGTCGTGTCCGACTCTTGGGGGTGGTGCCCATCTCCATTTCTAAGCCGAAAAGCTGGCGTTGTCATAGACACCTCATAGAATCATAGGATCCTAGAATCAAAGAGTTGGAAGAGACCTCATGGGCCATCCAGTCCAACCCCCTGCCAAGAAGCAGGAATGTTGCATTCAAATCACCCCTGACAGATGGCCATCCAGCCTCTGTTTAAAAGCTTCCGAAGAAGGAGCCTCCACCACACTCCGGGGCAGAGAGTTCCACTGCTGAACGGCTCTCACAGTCAGGAAGTACTTCCTCATGTTCAGATGGAATCTCCTTTCTTGTAGTTTGAAGCCATTGTTTTGCATCCTAGTCTCCAGGGAAGCAGAAAACAAGCTTGCTCCCTCCTCCCTGTGGCTTCCTCTCACATATTTATACATGGCTATCATATCTCCTCTCAGCCTCAGACCTCCATGGTCATGTGGCCAGCATGACTGCAAAGGAGTGCCGTTACCTTTCTGCAGAAGTGGTACCTGTTGATCTACTCACACGTGAATGTTTTTCAAACTGCTAGGTTGGCAGAAGCTGGGCCTAGCAGCGGGAGCACACCCTGTTCCCCAAATTTGAACCACCAACCTTTCGGTCAGCAAGTTCAGCAGCTCAGAGGTTTAACCCACAGCACTACCAAGAGGCCCTATTGTAGTCATCTATCCTTGTGAACAAAAAATGTAGCTAAACCAACTGCAATTAAAAAAAAAGATTGCGTCTAAATGATAGGTGGGTGAAATACATGGATGTTGCTTACAACTTTTAAACTGACAATGGCATGAAATGGCTACTATGTAGGTCTAGTTCTATCAGAATTCTACAGTAAAACTAAAATTGAAGCAGTTGAGATAACACTTCTGACCAGATGATAGGTCAAAAGCGCTGGAAAGTCAAACCAATGGATTCATGTTATAGGAAAGGAAACGGAACTAAATAATAATAATAATAATAATAATAATAATAATAACTTATTTATATTCGGCTCTATCTCCCCAAAGGTACTTTCTGTTTGGCAGTAGAATGCACTATCTTGGAAAGTAGTGTATCCTCCTTGTTTGGAAACCTGAATTCACAACTATCAAAGGATGCTTTAATTGCGATTGTTGCATGGACAGAAAATTAGATGAGAAATTGGGATTTGAAAGTTAGGTCTCTTTCAACTCTATAATTTCCCAGTGACATCCCCTGAAATTTCTTATCTCTGAATGGCTGCGCAACATGAGGTTTTTCCACAGTATGAATATATAGTTATAGCACTACAATTCCACTTCAGTTATCATGGCTGAATCCTATGGAATCCCGAGCCACTTGAATTTGAAATACCCTTCCTATTAAAAAAAAGTCATTTTGGAATGAATAGTTCCCATGGTGGTTGTGGTGGAAGATGCAAACCGATCTTCATTTGAAACCCCATCCCAACTTAATGTAAGGACTAACTACATGTTTAGTAGTAAGTACAACTAAGGGAACAGAGAAAATCATTATTGCTTATTTTAGATTATATAAAAATCAATGTCTTCCTGTTAATCTCATTTTCCAATAGCATTGTCTAGGCCATTCCATGTTCTGTTCTTTCATAGTTCCATGTTTATCTATTACGCTGCATTTTCAAAGGCTTGTCCAAAGAGTCAGGTTTTTGCTTTTTTCTGGAAGGTCAGGAGGGAGTGGGACAATCTAATATCCCCAGAGAGGGAGTTCCACAGCAGAGGGGCTACCACTGAGAAGGCCCTGTCTCTCATCCCCACCAAAAGCGCCTGCGAAGAAGGTGGGATCGAGAACAGGGCCTCCCCAGATGATCTTAAATTCTATATGGTTCATAAGGAGAGATATGTTCAGACAGGTAAGCTGGGCCAGAACCATTTAGGGTTTCATAGGCTAAAGCCAGCACTTTGAACTGTGCCTGGCAGCAAACTGGCAGGCAGTGGAGTTGGGGCAACAGAGGAGTTGTATGCTCCCTGAGCGCTGCTCCGGTTAGCAACCTGGCTGCTGCTCGCTGGACCATTTGAAGCTTCCGAATAGTTTCCAAAGGCAGACCCATGTAGAGCACATTGCAGTAGTCTATACGAGATGTAACCATAGCATGGACTACCGTGGCCAAGTCAGACTTCCCAAGGTATGGGCGCAGCTGGCACATATACCGCGGCATTGAATTTTGCCATAATTTGTAAGCCGCTCTCAGTCTCCCTCTGGGTGAGAAGGTCGGGGTATAATACAGTAAATAAACCTTAGCACATGCATATTAGTCATGTGGAAAAAACATAAATACCCTTTAGCCTAAAACAGAACATGGATCTTGTTTCACTTAGATTATCTCCAACAAGGTTAAGAAAGCTCTAACTGCAAAAATGCACAAAATCAAACTAATATTATTCCCACCTCCCAGAAAAGTCTAGTTGCTTCATTATTTAATATTTGTTGATCTTAATTATTTCTCTTCCCCCCTGAAATTACCCATAGTAGGATGTAACATAAACACAAAACAATAACACATCATGGCTGTCAGCTTTTCTTAATTGTGTGTGTATGGGGGAGAGAAAAAGAGAGAGAGAGGGGGAAACAGGAAAATTGGTGTCATATTTTTGGCATATTAGTTGCCCTTCCAACAGAAGCTGATGAAGGACACATGTGGGCATAAAGAAGCCACATTTCACAACATGTTCTGTTCTCAGAGGAGCACATGACAAATTGCCCAAGTTGTGAGATAAATCACAACTTTTATATGAGCCAGATGGGTCTGGTTCTTCACAAAAGATCTTCATGGAAAAAGACAAAATGGAAATGTCTTTTACCAATCCATTTTAATTCTTCAAACATTACATCGAGTCAAGTGTAGAATCAAGCAAAGTGGTTCCATTTAACATAATGATGCCCTCTATACTTGAGGTGCTTTCAGCAGTTGCCACCAGCCAGAGCAGAGCTTGGAAAGTTATTTCTTAACTATACCTCAGAGTCTCACTTATCCAACATAAACAGGCTGGCATAACGTTGGATAGCGAAAAATGTTGGATAATAAGGCAAGATGAAGGAAAAGCCATTAAAAGTCAAAATACATTATGATTTTACAAATTAAGCACCAAAACATCATGTTTTACAACAAATCGACAGAAAAAGCAGTTCCAATACATAATAACATTATGTAGTAATTACTGTATTTACAAATTTAGCACCAAAACATCATAATGTATTGAAACAGCTGTCGATCCAGGCAGGAGGCAGACTGCGATGGATAATACAGAACATTGGATGAGCGAAGGTTGGATAAGCAAGACTCTACTGTAGTTACATTTCCAAGGTCCAAATAAAGTTAGTTCCCACTACAGTTACAAATTTCAATTTCTTGCTTTTCAAAAGGCAGTTTTTTTAAAAAAAAACTTAGAAAACGATTAGAGTACTGCAAATCTCTGGTCTGTGGCACAATACTCACACAAGTAGAATTGACACACATTGTCTGCAACTTTTTCACGTACCAATTATGACTGTGTTGTCATCGACAATCATCAGCTTGCTGTGAACATAGATCAACTCTGTGACAAGTTTCCCTTCCAGCTCAGCATGGTTTCGGAGCCCACAGAAGGAGATATAGTTAATCCACTGTTCTCCCACTGAAGAACACAAAGGGGAATAGGTAAAAAGAGAGTGGGAAGAAAAGGTTATGGAGATTAGATTTTGGTGAAACATTAGGAGAAACATCTTACTGGTTCAACAAGAAGCTGATGTGTTAGCAAATTGGTCAGCTCTCCTTGTCCTGAAGCAGGACAGTTTGTTCTTTCTCCTTTAATAATAATTATTTTTAAAGAGAGCTGGACTGTGTAGAATCATGCAAGACACTGTCAAACAAAGAATTGTCTTCTGACATCTCTTAAAATAGGGCATTGTCTTCTAGAACCAGGACACAGTAGCTGAAATTCCGTATCAGGGATGTGCAGTAGCAGCAGCAATAATAATAGTAATAGTAATAGTAATAGTAATACTAATAATAATAATAACAACAACAACAACAACAATTTTTTTTTGTATCCTGCCACCATCTCCCCGAAGGGACTCAGGGCGGCTTACATGGGGACTAGGCCCAGTCAAACAGAATTAAAATATAACACAATAAAAACATAAACCATCAATCAACAACAGTAGCCGAGATATTATATATATATAAAAAACAACAACAGTAGCCGAGTACAGTGGACATGTTCAGAACTAAAGAGAGAGACAAGAGCTTATGCAATAGAACTACAAGGATAGGGCTGATAGTAAAGTTCAAGAGCCAGATAATAAGTTAGGGCTAAAAGGACCAAGTCAATTTGTGCAATACAGCTGCAAGGGCGGGGCTAATTTTAAAGTGCAGGAGTCAAATAATCTAGTGAACTGATTAATCAAAGGCACATTGGAACATCCAAGTTTGTAGGTCTTTACAGAAAGTGGATGGGGTGGGCGCTAATCTAATCTCCCTGGGGAGAGAGTTCCAGAGCCGGGGGGTCACCACTGAAAAGGCTCTCTACTTCGTCCCCACCAACCACGCTTGTGACGGAGGTGGGAGTGAGAGAAGGGCCTCCCCAGCAGATCTTAAAGCTCGCGCAGGTTCATAGGGGAAAATACGATCATGAAGATAGGCTGGACCCAAATGGTTTAGGGCTTTGTAGGTAATAACATGCACCTTGAATTGGGACCAGAAACTTATCGGCAGCCAGTGGAGCTGTTTTAACAGGGAGTTGTCCACTCTCTAACTAAGGCATGGACCACTTCTCAGACTCCTCAAGGTACAGTCGCAGCTGGTGCACAAGCTTTAACTGTGCAAAGGCCCAGTTTTTTTATATCTTTCTTAATCTACAATTGTCCTATGTAATTCTGGTATTGGATGATAGGATCGTACAATGGAATGCACAATGAAATTCACAACTGAAGGAACGCTATCGTTAATTTCAGCAGGGCAGAGAGATGTTTGTTGGCCAAAAATTGACATCTCCATGTACAAAGAACTCCATTTCATAGTGTTGGAAGGGACCACAAGGACCTTCCAGTCCAACTCCCTGCCATGCAGGAACACACAATCAAATTTCCATGACCCTGAACTGAATGTGGATGTTGCATGTCACACAAAAATGTCTACGTGTTCCATAGGGGAAATCACACATCCTTAAGGTGGTGTTTGGCCACAGATACCCTATCTAGCATTCAGATTCTCCCTGTCCTCCCAGTTCTTATGACTAAACCACATTCACTAGTCTAGAGGAAAACAGGAAGAATAATTCACTTTGAGCTGCATCCAAAGGGATGCTGAAAACAGCAGCTATATTCTGTTTTCATCTGACACCCAGATGTTGTTTTGCTAGTTTGTTTTCTTTACTCTGAAGATTGTCTTGACATAATTGAGGCCTCCCGTGCTCCTAGTTATACAATCCAGCAATTATGTGGCGGCTAACGTGTGCTTTATAGCGTATCAATCAAAGTTTAGTGTCCTCAAAGCCCAACAGTACGAAGCGCACAGTGAGGCGAGGCAAAGCACTTACTCTCGGTTTTCAGCTGTCCCAGGATCGAATTATCTCCTCTGCACATGGTCCTGTAAGAATTAGGGCCGCAATTAAAGTCACAAAACAGCAGCATGTGAATGAGTTTACAAGGATGAAGCTAATTAAAATTGCCAGATACATTTCTCTGTAAAATGGAGAGGAAAGAGAGCCAAGGGGAGACAACTGATTCAGAAGCTAAGGCAACACTGTGAGAGAAGGTTGGATTTAGGAGGAAAAGTGCCACACAATCTTGATTTCTGATGCAAACTAGCAAAGCAAAGGCATGTTTTTCACTTTGGACAGGCAGGAATGGGCCATCTGAAGCTTGCAAATGGACATCTGTTTATTAACATCGAGACAAGCTAACCAAAAGCAACATTTGACATATATCTGCCTCTGGGCAAAATGAATTTAGGATGAAATTATAGTAGGTATGAAGATGGACAAGGAAGTGCCAAAAGGCACCTGCGTCAAGCTTCCCTTAATGTCCCCTGTAATACATAGTTATGGAAGTATATGGTGTATTATCAGGTGGGAAAATACATTATGTGATCTCATGGAAAAGGGGAAAATGCCTCTCACTCACCGCAAACTAACCTTTATTATTATTATTATTATTATTATTATTATTATTATTATTATTCTGTCAGACTTTTAAAACAAAGTTTAATAAGAACTGGTTAGGAGGTGCTGTATCATTTTAACTGAACTGTTTTTAAAAGTCTTTATCTTTTAAATTTCATTTTTTCTGTTGAAATGATTTTAAAATATATTCTAGTTAGCTTAATATTAATAGTTCACCCTCCACATTTGTGGTTTTGGCTTTTGCAGATTTGAGTATTCATGGGTTTGATCAAAATATTCTCTAGGAATCTCTAGATCCTCTCATGTGATTCTATAGTTAACATCTAGCCTGTATAGTTAACATTTAGCCTATATGTGACAACACCTTATAAAGGTGCTGTCACATATTTTTTAATTTATGGCTTTCTACTTTAATAATAAGTAGGTTAAAGCACTGAGCTGCTGAGCTTGTTGACCAAAAGGTTACAGGTTCGAATCTGGAGAGCGGTGTGAGCTTCCACTGTCAGCCCCAGCTTCTGCCAACCTAGCAGTTCGGAAACATGCAAATGTGAGTAGATCAATAGGTACCGCTCCGGCGGGAAGGTAACGGTGCTCCATGCAGTCATGCCAGCCACATGACCTTGGAGGTGTCTATGGACAATGCCGGCTCTTTGGCTTAGAAATGGAAATGAGTACCACACCCCAGAGCTGGACATGACTAGACTTAATGTCAGGGGAAAACCTTTACCTTAACCTACTTTAATAATAATAATAATACTGCCAAAGGCTTTCATGGCCGGAATCACTGGGTTGTTGTAGGTTTTTTGGGCTATATGGTCATGTTCTAGAAGCATTCTCTCTTGACGTTTCGCCTGCATCTATGGCAGGCATCCTCTGAGGATAGATGCAGGTGAAATGTCAGGAGAGAATGCTTTAGAACATGGCCATATAGCCCGAAAAACCTACAACAACCCAATAATGATAATGATAATAACAATAATACTCTCTTTATAACCTACCCTCTTTCACAAGGGTGCTGTGGCCGAAAGCCCAGAGAATGTAGAGGGCTGATTGTATTGACTTTTGTATGATGTTCTTTTAAACTGTGAGCTGCTTTGGGTCCCAATTTAGGTGAAAATGTGAGATGATGATGATGATGATGATAGAAGTCTCACCCACTCCATTTTTAATTTATGTTGTCTGTAAGCAACCCTAAGCAGTGTGAGTCATGTGAGACAATTTCCAGATATCAAATCTCTCACTGAGGGGATTCACATTGTTTGGGTTACTCTTGAACAGTCCCTAAAGAATGAATCACACTTACGACTCACTGTTATGACACATTTACACATTACAGCAGGCACTGCTCAAAGGAGTCACCTCACATCTGCAAAATCTTGGGTATGCAAATCAGACCTATGGAAGAACCATAACTGCTCTTTGGAAAATCAGTATTAATGAGCGTGCTTCTAATTTATTACCTCCACGCCTTTCCTTTCTTCTATTTTGTAGTGGGTACAGGGAGTCTGCTATCTATAAATGAAATAATGCTATTCAAGAGAAAATGGAAAAAATGGAAAATGCTTAATTAAAAAGCCAATGAGGAAATGCTTCATATGAGATTTTCTCAGCAAGGCAGAACACAATAGCCAGTACTCCCTCTGCTGGCTATTTGATAGCAATATGCATTTTTTTGTTGTGTCAGGAGTGACTCCTGTTGTGAGAGAATTGGCCGTCTGCCAGAACGTTGCCCAGGGGACGCCTGGATGATTTCATGTTTTTATCATCCTTGTGGGAGGCTTCTCTCATGTCCCCGCACGAGGACCTGGAGCTGATAGAGGGAGCTCATCTGCCTGAAATGACTGTTATAGTTTTTTTTTAAAAATTGTGTCAGAAGCAACTTGAGAAACTGCAAGTCACTTCTGGCGTGAGAGAATTGGCCGTCTGCAGAGGTGCTTCCCAGGGGATGCCTGGATGTGTTACCATCCTGTGGGAGGTTTCTCTCATATCACCACATGGGAAGCTGGGGCTGACTAGTCTATTTCTCTCCTCTTTTCGTTACCACCCTAGGTTTATATCACCACATGGGAAGCTGGAGCTGACAGATCGGAGCTCACCCTGTCTCAAGGATTCAAACTGCTGACCTTTAGGTCAGCAGTTCAGCCAGCACAAAGGTTTAACCCACTGTGCCACCATGGCCCACCTATGGTTGTGGTGATGAATTAGTAATATGAAACATGAATTCTTGCACCACATGGGAAGAGAGAAGTCTTGGGAGTTAGGCCAGGCCAGGATGTGTTGAAAGCTCTTCAAAAGCAATACAGCTCTTCTCTTCAAAGGTTACTCCTGCCCAGGGTTTTTGTCTGCTTTCCATGAAACCTATAGAAGGAAATTCTGCCAGATTGAACTTTGAGAAAGGGCCCTTCAGGTATGGTGGGGACCGCTCCCCAGATCAGTCCTTTGGATTCAGAGGCAAGTTCTGACTCAGAGATTTCTTTTGCTTGTGAAAAGTTAATAGGACACTTGAATAAAGTCATGTATAGCCCAGACCTTTACCCACAGTGTACAATGACTGCCATATATGTGGCTAAAAATAAAAGAATCCACCTTATCCAAACTACCCATGATACCTGTAGTTAAAATGCATGATTGCTTGCAGCGCATTTCCTCCTCCTGTTGAAATATCACCTTCAAATCCGGGCAGCAGAGGGATGACTACATAGACTCGGTACCGTTTGTTTTCCCTAATAGGAAAATTCGAAGAAATGAACCAACCTCTGCAAAATTATCTTTAGACAAAGGAAGAGCAAAGGGAAAGGAAATAAACTTATTTTATAAATCCAGAAATTCTTAACTCGACCTGATTCTTGTATTTTCTCTCTCTGCCCCTTCCTCACCAATTATCCTTAACACTGTCAAATTTATAGTTTATTTTTGGATTTGAACTTCAGTGATAGTAGTCTAGTTTTCCCTAATCTAATGCTACCCAGGTATGTTTGACTACAATTTTCTATCATCAATCAAATCTCTCTGTCCAAGAGTTCTTTCACACTACATGGTTAGCCAATAGCCACAGACTTTTTTTTCATGTCAGGAGAGACTTGAGAAACTGCAAGTTGCCTCTGGTGTGAGAGAATTGGTTGTCTGCAAGGATGTTGCCCATGGGACGCCCGGATGTTTTGACGTTTCTACCATCCTTTTGGGAGGCTTTTCTCATGTCTCCGCATAGAGAGCTGGAGCTGACAGAGGAGGCTCAACCCACTTTCCCAGGACTTGAACCCCTGACCTATCGATCTGCAGTCCTGCCAGCACAAGGGTTTAACCCATTGTACCACTGGGGACTCCTTGCCACAGACTGATCACATCAGGAGCATCACTCAGCCTAGGATACTATGCACACCACACAGGCATAGTACTACGATTCTATTTAAACTGCTACGTCAACATCCTATAGAATCCTGATTTTTGTAATTTGGCGAGGCACTAAAGCCTGGTTTTTATTCTTTTTCCACAAATGATTATTATGCAGATGCAGACATGCCAGAATCTATACTGTTTCATCTCCAAAAATACCCTTTAAGTCCTATAACTCTACAAACAAACCTCACTACCTCTGAGGATGCTTGCCATAGATGCAGGCGAAACGTCAGGAGAAAATGCCTCTAGAACATGGCCATATAGCCCGGAAAACCTACAACAACCCAGAATCTATACTGTTTCATCTCCAAAAATTCCCTTTAAGTCTTATAACTCTACAAACAAACAAGCAATTCCTTGTAGATAATTACATCTTACCTAGTTAGAATTCATACAGAGATTAGCTTTTCAGATGTTTATAATATAACGCAGAGTTATGATCAAAGAAGTGCCTCTTCCTTTATTGCAAGCCCAAGACGTAGAAACAACCACTAGGTGGCAAACACCATACGTTTTGGATAAAAATTACTTTAAAAAGTAGACAATTACCAATTCTCTCCAGGCAGAGACATCATTTCCTAGTAATTGTTTCTTTACATAACAAACAGCTCTGTTCAAAAATGATAGTGCCATTTTTTTCAACCACAAAGCTATTATTGAAATAATTGCAGATTTTTGCATGTATACCCTAATATTTCTGCTCCACATTGCTATTAGATGGCAGGTGACAAGGAAGATGAGATCCCTATGTGCTGGACAGAAAGAGGGCGGAACACAATGAACAGAATGCTACTTTTAACACATTATCCCTATTGATGGTGCCTGATAGTTGTATCACTATGAAGAACATTGGGATATTTATTAGAAAAGACTTTTCATGCATCTAAAGTTACATTTAACATTGGGTCTTTTAAACTGCAGTCCTCAAACAATGCAATATTCACAAAGACTGAAAATGACTCCATCCTATTCTATTCTTACTTGAGAGAAGGATCCACTCAATTCACTTCAGAGGCCCCTTCTACACTGCCATATTAGATCTGGATTATCTGCTTTAAACTGGATTATCTGGCAGTGTAGACTCATATAATCCAGTTCAAAGCAGATAATGTGGATTATCTGCTTTGATAATCTGGATTATATGGCAGTGTAGAAGGGGCCTGAGACGGTGACCTGTCCAAGATCACCTAGTGCATTTTTATGGCTGTTTCAAACCCTCGTCCCCAGAATCATAGTCCAACATTCAAATAGCTACACCATGCTGGCTGCATATGGGAATTATGCATAGTATAGTTTTAGGGACATTGCAATCCAAACTACCTCTTTCCCACAAACTCACTGAACTGAGACTCACAGGGATGAAGAGGAGGGAAAGGATGAGGATTGAAAGGTTGAAGAAAGAGAGAACAGACTTAGGACTTGTCTACACAGACTTTAAAACCTGCACTCATCCCGAGTTGGCTCCTGACTGTCTTCATGTTTCTTGTCTTCTGCTGAGTACTGTGAGTTAAACTGGGTTAGTTCAGCTTTGCCTCACTTCAGAAAAAGTCAGGGTTGCTTTGGAGTCTGCTTGAAATTATGGAGAATCCTGCAACTGAAGGGCAGCATGGACAGCTGGGTTCAGTTTCAATCCAGACAGGTCTTCAATCCAGATAGATCCACATGGACCTTTCCCCTGTGCCCATAAATGCATGGAAAATGGAATGGATTGTGCTTGTCACACTGCCATCACTGCTAACAGCCAGCTTCAGAGCTCCTTCCTTTTCCCCAGTTGCATAGACATCTCTGATGCCAGAATGAGGAGCTAGGAGCTCACATGGATCTCTGTGGCCAGATGGAAGGAACAATGGTGACATGGAAGGTTAGCTGGCATCCTAGCTGGACGATGTAGACTCCAGACCGCTGCCATCACAGGTTCAAAAGGGTACATTTGGTTGCATCATGGGCCAGTCCGGAGAAGCTCCATCCTGAACAATCTTGGTGTTTGGTGAGGATAATCTCAGTCCTGCAGTTTCCATAGCATTCTTCAAATTACACCATTAGCATTCTCTAGGAGAGCACCTCATCAAATGCTGCATGGAAGCATGGCAGTTAAAAGCATTGTCAAAACTGCTGTAAATCTTTGAGAGATAACACTCACAGAGACAGAAAAGCACGATGACACAGAGAGAGGGAATGTAGGTGGGAGAAAGAGAGAAAGGGGGCAGGCAGAGATGAAGAGACTGTCAAAAAAAGAGAAAGAAATCTGGAAGAGGAGGAGGAGGAGGAAGCAGAGACTGACAGAAAAAGACAGGGAAAGTGGGTACTCTTGCTTACATCTGGCTTTCCATCCTTTACTTAGACATGCATCCTGAAATAACACCACTGACAGAATGTAACTATGGCCAAGGAAAATGAGATAGGTGCCTCCACTAGTGGAAAAGATATTTGAGATTATTAATAAAAATAGATTCAGCATCTCATTAAATGGACCATTTCCTAAAATCAAATTAAGGAACGATTTATTTATTTATCGTACCAGAAGTGAACTGAGGGTACAGTTGTACCATATTTAAAAAACACAAAGTTTTAAAAACTTGGCATTATACTAAATGTCCTTTGACCAGTAGCTGGCCACTTGAGTGCCTCTGGAGTTGCTATAAGAAGGTCCTCCATTGTGCATGTGGTAGGGCTCAGACTGCATTGTAGTAAGTGGTCTGTGGTTTGCTCTTTGCCACACTCACATATCATGGACTACACTTTGTGACCCGCATTTCTTTAGGTTGGCTCTGCATCTCATGGTGCCAGAGTGCAGTCTGTTCGGCACCTTCCAAATTGCCCAGTCTTCTGTGTGCCCAGGAGGGAGTCTCTCATTTGATATCAGCCATGGATTGAGGTTCTGGGTTTTTAGCCTGCCACTTTTGGACTCTCGCTTGCTGAGGTGTTCCTGCGAGTATCTCTGTAGATCTTAGAAAACTATTTCTTGATTTAAGGCATTTGTATGCTGGCTGATATATGAACAAGGGATGGGCCAGAGATGTCACTGCCTTGGTCCTTTCATTATTGGTTGCTAATTCCCGGCGGATGTCAGGTGGTGCAATACGTCCAGTGGTGTAGGATGTAGACATCCTGTGATAATGTAGCATGTCTCATTAAGAACCACATCCACTGTTTAGACTGGGCATGACTACTCAGCAGCAGAGTAGTGAAGCGACCAGAGGCGACTTAAGGAATGATGGGATGTATCCTTATTTCTACAAAAATACAAGTTGCTTTTTCTGAGTGTTGCAGTAGAAATGAAATTCCACTTACTGTAATCAGACAGACACACCTGCTTTACTTTAAATTAAATGGGTCATTGGTGTGAAGCAGGGTGGATAGTGTAGATGTGAGAAATGCTAATTGCTGATACCAAAATAATTAGAAAAATGTAATTTATGGGCAATCTATTTCTATTAAAACAGCCAAGCTTATTCACACACACACACACACACACACACAACATTTGTCCAAGTAAAGGGAATATGTGACCTAATTAATTATATATGCTTTGTATTGTCTGAAGGTCAAAGACATGAATAGGATAGGATGGAACACACATTAAGTCCCTTCATTAAGCTTTAAGGATGCAAGAGTGAATTCTTCTACGGGCCCCATCTAGTTTGATTTCCTGCTTCTTTCTTTCTGCCCTTGAATCATAAGGAAAACCTCTCATATATTTTGAGATGAAATCCTGCACTAGACATCTACACCTACTGTGATTCTGGTAAATATCAATTTTTCCTCTCCCTGCAAGTTAAGGCTTTTTGAATAAAAAGGAACTTGCATATTAAAGGAGAAGATTCATTCAAAGTCACTTCTAGTTCTGTCCTCAGAAAGACTCCGTGGGAAGCACACTTTTCATAGTGCTAAGAGGACTACACCAAAATGTAAATGAGCATTTTGGCCCATTTACAAAAAAAATAAAATAAAAAATAGTTGTAATTTTTTTTTAAAAAAAATGTTAAGGTCTAGCACATTCCATTGCTGGATTCAGGCCTGGGGCTTTGGTTTGGTTCTGGAGTGGCCAGGTTGAGTGCTCCAAGCTATGTATAGTAGAATCAGAGCCAGAAATGAGTCTACCAGTCTCATTAGCAGCAGCAGAGCATCAGGAAATAGCTCTGGAAGCTGCAAACTGACTACTTTGCTTTGACAGGAATGTAATCTAGTACAATGATGCTGCCACCAACGGAATCACAATTATATTAAGCAAAGTATATTCTCTGTAGCATATAAAGAAAGGGAAGGGGAGGGAGAACTGAAAAGCACCATGGAAACCTAAGGCTGGCAATTAAAACTATGCAAATGTGTGTGCATTTGCATAATTTCTTCTGCTAACAAGAGCTCCAATTTTTTCTTTCTAAAAGGCAAGAATGTCTTTCAGCCACCAGTGAGAAATAAAGGATTCACAGAAGCGCAAGCAAGAGAACAGCAGATGTGTGAAGATATTGACTCTACAATTTCTGAGCAGTCACAGCACTGCAGAGCCAAGTTCTATCCCATCATCTCAACACTGATTTCAAGTCTAAACAACATGCCACATGTGGTGGGGTATTTGGGACTGGATTAATAAGTGATTTTTAAAAAAGTAGATAGGGAGTTGCCTTGTTAATCTGTCCAGTTCAGTACTGTCAACAGTACTGATAGTGGCTTACTAGGATTTTTAGGCAAGGTTCCTTTTTTATTATTATCAGGGACTCAATTTGTGATCTTTGGTAGACAAATCACTGAGCATATAACTCTTGCCCTATCACTGAGCAACAGCCCTTTAATCATCTTGGGAAGGCCCACATATTAACAGGAACAATGCTTTTGAGGGAAACTGGAATTCCAGAAAGCACTGGAGTCACTTCCATAATTATTGAGGTTTGGCGTGATCCATTGTCCCCACGTCAAACAGATCCACCACTGTTTGCTGGCCAGAAGCAGCTTCCTAACAGAGCCTTGCTGGTATTATCCCTTATGAAGATGACATGACTGTGCACCCTATTGAAACTTTATCAGAAATAAATGGCCAAACCCAGGAGGACAGGGCACTGTTCCTGATATGCTGTTGTCCCAGGTGTGTGGCTGTGTGGACTGAAAAAGAGCTTCAGGGCACTTCCACAATGGTACGTGTGGATTCCCTGTGTTGTATCTGGAGCAGATCTGGAGCAATTTACTCTTGAGTATTTTGGTAAGGCTAGATGCAGACCTCTTCCAGAAAATTAGAAACATTGGAGGTAAATTTCAGGCAAAAATTGGTATGATAAGAAACAAAGATGGCAGGGACCTAACAGAAGCTGAAGAGATCAAGAGAAGGTGGCGAGACTATACAGAAGATCTGTATAGGAAGGATAATAATATCGAGGATAGTTTTGACAATGTGGTGAATGAATTAGAACCAGACATCCTGAGGAGTGAGGTTGAATGGGCCTTAAGAAGCATTGCTAACAACAAGGCAGCAGGAGATGACGGGATCCCAGCTGAACTGTTTAAAATCTTAAAAGATGATGCTGTCAAGGTGGTGCATGCCATTATAAAAAGAAAAGAAGGAAAAAGGAAAAGGAAAAAAAGAAAAAAAACAAAAAACAAAAAAAGAAGAAAGAAAAAAAAAAACGTAAATTAAAAGCAACATAAAAAAAATAAAAATAAGAAAGAGATTAAAAAAAAACAAAGAAAAAGAAAAAGAAAAAAAGAACAAAAGAGAACAAAAAAGAAAAGAAAAGCAAGTAGAAATAAAGAAAAAATAAAAATAAAGAAAATAAATAAGAAAATAAAAAACCACTCAAGTAATAAAAAATTAAAAAGAAAAAGTAAAAATTAAATTACATGGCCTATTGCACACTTCCAAATAAGCAAACAAGAATATTAAAAAGGATAAAAAGAAAAAAAAAAAAAAAAAAAAAAAAAAAAAATAGAAAAAAAGAGAAAAAAAACACAAAGAAAAAAAAGAAAAAAAGAAAAGAAAAAAAAGAAAAAGAAGAAAAGAAAAGAAAAGGAAGAAAGAAAGAAAAGAAGAGAAAGGAAAAAAAAAAGAGAAAAAAGAGAAAAAGAGTAACAAAAAAAAAAGAAAATAGAGAAAAGAGAAGAAAAAAAGCAAAAAAAGAAAAAAGAAAAGAAAAAAAAAAAAATAAAGTATAGACAAAGTAGAAAAACAAAAAAGGAAAAAACAAAACAAACAAAACAAAAAGATCTAAGAAGGAAAAAGTAAAACAGCTGAAGGGACTTAAAAGAGAAAAAGAGCAAAAAGACGTTACAGGAAATCTGAAAAGAAGAAAAGAATACAAAAAAAAAAGAAAAGAGAAAAAAACACTTGATAAGAAAGAATAAACAAGCTATGAGACACCAAAATGCAAACAGTGCCAGCAAAGAATAAAAAATAAGAGAAGTTTAAGGAGAATATAATTTAAAAAAAAAAATAAAAAAAGAAAAACATATACAAAAAGTAAAAAAGAAAAGTAAAAAAAGAAATGGTGTATGCCAAGAGCTTTTATTTACCTTACTTAAAACCCAGCCATTTTTAATCTTGAAGTCACCAATATTTCACTCTCTTTCACACACACACACATACACAATATCCTCAGTTGTTCTGAAGCATGACATAAACAATAGCAACGGACTAACATCAGCCTGGTCGCAGCAGGCATAATAGACCATAGAGAGTTTCTCTTCTATCAACCACATCCTATTTTGGATAAAAAATCTGGATTTATGCTTGTTATTTCACTATAACACTACAGCTTTCCACTGGACAATGGGCTAGGTCACTACAATGCTTAAAGGCCCTTTGGAGGAATATGAGTCCCCAGGCACAAACATATACACAGAAAGCAATCTTTAATCTACTTAGTTACACTGAGTGATTAAGGCAAAGAAAACTATGAGCAGCTCATTGTTAATGACAAATCCACCCAATCTGCTAGATTAATCTAACACTCTAGGACTGTTTTCATTTCATCCTCTTCCACTGAAACTGTTGAAAAAGTCTGGGCTACAATAGTCAGCCTATCCTTAACTAGAAATAAAATATTACTGTTAAGTTCCCCAACTATTTTTGAGCAAAATTACCTGTAGGCTTTGAGGATTCGCTGGGCAATGGCATCACCTATCCGATTAAATACAACTTTCTCATCGGCACAGCTGATAAAAAACTGGTTCTACAATGTGGAAAAGGACAAGAAGAATTATTTGAAAACATTGACTTTTCGTAGCATTGATGTTACTGAAAGTTATCGAGGATGGTGACATCTGTCAAGGTAATAGAATTTCAACTGGGAATTTTGAATCTCATTTCATTAGCAATGAAATTATTGGGATGAATACTTAATGAATGAATATATATTTGAAAAAAAATCAGAATGCATCCATTTCCAAAACAATAAATTAGTTTGTATTTTTCGAGGCACGGGATTCCTAGCTTTCAAGAGACTATTTAAAGGGATTGTGATATCCTGACCCTCCAAGTTAAGATTAATTGGTAGAAACTATATGGAGACCTTAGAGTGAATCTGAGTTCAGATACAATTATTTCAGAAATGTTACTTTTTTAAGGCTACAATTCCCAGAACCCCAGAACTACTATCGGCAGTGTTTATACTGACTAGGAAATTCTGGAAGCAGCATTCAAAAAATATTTTCCAATTTCTGGAATGAATACTAAAATCCTTAGATTTGTCAACAGTAAACAACTGAATCAATTTCTCAGGTGAGGGGCTTTTGGAATCAATGTTCTGAAGTACAATAACAAAAGGTATGACCCAACACCTACAGGAGCATATCCCCCATGTAGTGTGCTACATACAAGTCCCATTGAAATAATTGGTGTCTAAACACTTGCACTTTTCCTTCAATAGGCTTTAATTTTAAAAATTTCACTCGGAGAACTGATTTACTCTGTGCTTCCTAATGGTATGTAAATTTAACAAACCACAAGCCACAGTGTCTTAGCAACAGCTACTTTGAGCCCTAATATTGAGGAAAAGGCAAGGTGTAAATAAAGATGTTGATGATGACATTGCTAATGCATTATACTAATAAGTGAGGGGCCACATCTGCAGGGAAAATAATTGCCTTGGGCACTTCCTATTCCTTTCAGGACTTCCAGACATCATATCAGCTTACAATTCATAAGATAGAAGCAAGATTGCTGGTTCTTCTGTAACCAATCCTTGATCAAAAGCGTGACTCCTTTTAACAATAACAAAGAGCTGAAGCTGAAATGCTGCTACTATTATTCATAGCAACCATTTAAAAATAATATCGAGAAATGTTTTTTTAAAATATACTCAAATGAATTCATTAAATATTTATGTACTTTTGAGGATGCTACACAAGGAGATATCCAGTACCTCCTTGCACAGTAATTTTGTCCCATCTTTGCAGTCGATGCTGGACTGTTCAGAGGCACTGTTCCCCCAGACAATGACAAACTGTGGGGCTGTTGCAAGTCATACACAGGTGCTGCATTATAGCTGGCGGCGGCAGGGGGCGGGGGGAGGGAAGCATGGCAGGGAATTGGACTGGATAGTCCTTATGGTCTCTTCCAACTTCACTCTCATTCAGATTACTGTTTCTTTCCTTCTTAAGTAGCAACAGCTACAAAGTGCCTGGGTGCGATGGATTTATTTATTATTACAGTCTCAGACCAGAAGTTTGGACCATTAAAACATTAAAATAAAGAGGCTTTTGAAACTTTGAAATCAACTCCTTAATTTTATAGCTACAGCATACTAGTTGGGGATGATCAGAGTTGTAGTTCACTCCCATTGCTCAACTGGGGAATACGAGATGTATTTTGGAAGAAACAGGTTGGAGAAAGCTGTACAAGAGCATTATTCCATCTCTTAACATGCACAATGCCTGGGTGCAACTGAACTGCCAGTCAGTGGGAGGACCCAAGCTGCAGCCAGGAGCATTCCAGCTCCCAGTGCTTAGTTGAGGAAAAAGGAGAAGTCTTTGTGCCCTGGTCCATCAGTGAGTGCACTACGACTTCTCCTTTTACGCTTTGCCAGTGATGTAACAGGTTCTTGGACATGGCCTCTTTCCTCATCCCAGCCATAAACCCTACAGGGCAAATATCACTTGCCTCTATATATATGTAGTGTTCGCTGTTTTCTATCACATTGACATAAGCAGCATGGATGGATTCCTCATGATACTTGATCCCAGCAGACCAATCAGCAGCAGAGCGAAGCACCTGAAAAAAGAGAGGAAAATATGACTTGACTGAAGAAACACAACTTTTTAAACATTTAGAAGATGAGTTTTTATTCCACTGCATTTGCCCACTCTTGTTGCATAAAGTGAAATATGAAGTGAAATATATATTGGATTCTTTTAAAAACTTCATTATTATGGTTAGCATTGCTACAATACTAACTGCTTCAGCCTGAAAGCAATGAACACAGAAATAGAAAACCCAGACTGACAAGAGAAGCTCACTGCCTTATGGCAAATCAAAAACTGCTTGAGGGTAAGAGCTGTTTGACAGTGGAATATGCTGCCTTGGCGTATGGTGGATTTTCCTTCTTTTGAGATTTTAAAAAGAGGATGGATACCCATCTGCTGGAAATGCGTTGTGTATTTCTGCATAGTAGAATGGAGATGACTCGATGGCTCTTGTGGTCACTGGGGAAGTCTCCTTAATCTGGTGCCCAAAGGATGGCCATACTAGCTGGGGATGATCAGAGATCATTGCTCAACTTGGGAATAAGGAATGTATTTGGATGAAACGGGTTGGGAAAAGCTGTACAAGAGCATTATTCCATCTCTTAACATGCACTGGTATCGAATGAGAGCAACAACTTTTAGTGATCCCATTGGAAGCTGCCATGAATTCTAACAGAAGAAAGTAATAAATAAAATAAACTTGTGGGATATCATCAGAGAACAGCATAATTTGATTTAAAAACATTAACATTCTTCATAAATAAAAGCAGAGATTAGAAACTTTCAACCACTAGAAATGTAAACCTTGACACAAGTCTTGTTCAAATGCCGTTCAGTGTAATGCAAAAGGCTGGTACTCCGGGTCAAGTAAAAATATGGATTTGAACCATCTGAGAGACTACACTGTGTGTCTTTGTGTTCAATGCAAAAACTTCTACCAATACATTCTTTCTCAGGCATTAGTAGCTGGGACCATTAACAACCTCAGTATATCAAAAGAAAAAGGTTATGTAATGTTAGTGAACATTCTATCGTTTCGATTTGATATGTGATGGCTGATAAACATCATTCAGTTTGAGGTGAAGTCTCTCTACTGAAAAATAAATTTTGTCTAGCTGGGACTCTCATCTGATAAAAGCACCGACTGTCAGTTTACAAAGCTTGGGAAAGATGGATCATTTTCAATCTTGCAGCATCACAGGGAAATGCAATCAATCCGCATGCACTGTCTCCAATTTGAAACATATTTGCAGTCTTTCCACTAAGCAGTTGCTACATACAGACATGGTGCGCTGCCTTAGTGATTTATTTCCCACAGTGGAATCCACAAGACCGTGGGACAAAAAGTACTAAGCTCGTGGTTTCCAATCTTGAATCCCCATATATTGCTGGACTTGAACATTCAGAAGTCTCACACAGAATGGCAATCAAGAATATTATCTAGGATAGGGATCAATTGATCACTTATACAGTGGCTAAGTTTTGTGTGACAACTATAAAAATAAGGAAGAAGTTTGTGGATGATTTTACTTGTAAAGTTTTAACTTACTCATTTTTTAATCCATACCTACGGCTTTTATAAGTGTCATATATGAAGCTGTGTAGATCAACTCCATATTATCGACTTTCTGATTTAATGTTATGAATGTCTGGTCATAATATTAACACTTTTTAAAAATCCTGTTCTTGATGTTTTAAAGTTTGGTTCCTGACCATAATAATAAAATTCAATCAACATGGAATAGCAGTGGTCAGGAATTATGGAAGTTGTCATTGATGACCCAAGTTTGGGAACAACTGTAGATGAGGAAGGTCTTCACACAAAATTTTAAAAATGCATATACATAAATAGCAAGCATATTGGTATTGATTTCTAGATTTATATATCCAGGGAATTACTTTTTGTTTAAAGAATCACACAAATCAGACTAGCCAAATAAGTCTAGTCTTAAATGACACTTGTTATAGGCAGTCCAAAGAAAGTATGTGCAGTATTTCAAATGCAACTCTGTTGAGAAATGCATTTCTTTCCATCGTATATTGCTTCTGTTCAAAGAGGGTCCTAATAAACAAAAAAATCTGTGGGACCTCATTGATCTGAGCTGTTAATGTATAAGCTGATGGTACTGTGAAATCAGGTCTATCAGCAGCCAGCCTCCAGTGTATTATGTTCTATGCAAGTAGGACTCATGATTGCTCAGACAGACAAAGCAGACTCAGTGAAACTAGGGTGCCCTATAGATCAAGCTTGAGAACTGACCCTGCATAGATGTGTCTTCAGGTCACCTGTCAACTTAAGGCAATACCAGGAATTTCATAGGATTTTATAAGGCAATACTTAAATGTGGAGTGAATTTTCCAGTTCCTTCCTCTAAAAAAGTGGTTCCCAACCTTGGTCCTCTAGATGTTTTGAACTTCAAATCCCAGAAATCTCAGCCATCTTACCAGCTGTTAGGAATTTAGGGAGCTGAAGTCCAAAACACCCGGAGGACCAAAGTTTGGGAACCACTGCTCTAAAGTATATTAGCAGCCCCCCTTCCAAGTACTAATTAGGACTGACTGTGCGTAGCTTCCAAGATCTGGTGCCTCTAGGCCTATAATACTCAGCTGATTTCACAAGCCAACACAGATGCACCAACTCCTATAAAACCCAGACTTTAAGGCGGTAACTCAATTGAAATAACTCAATGCATTAAGTATCAGCACAGATTTTCTTGCCTTATGCTTGACAGTGGCAGAGCCCTTATTCAACTGTGGGAGGAGCTGCAGTAAAATCAAGGATAGATTTACTGCCCATGCACTTCAATGAATGAAAACACAGCTGACAGCCAGAAGGCAAGGTTATCAGTCATAATCTTTTTCACACTCTGCTACTATAATATCCCAGAACCAAAATAGGCAGCCTTGAAAAATTATGTCCTTAACTGCCTGTCTGACCTGTTTAAAATTACTAATGAGCTGCAAGCTTACAGGCCTGCCAATTGCCTCTTTAATACAACAATTGCTCTGCCATTCATATACTTACATATATATCTGAATAGTACTCACTGCCTGCTTCTGCATTTAAAAACTATTTTAATTTAATGGAAATTGATACAAGTAACCTAGTATTCTGGATGTAGTTTGGAAACACTGCTATTTGGCAACTCTCAGATAGCTGGGAACAGAGCAATTTAGAGATGGAACAAATGCAGTTTACAGGGAATAATTTCCTTAACAAATTGAACCCACAAAATATTTAGGAGCAGCCTGTGGTTTCCGCAAATGCATTTGGCTATTTGCACACTTTATCCTATTTAATGGTGAGTTTAATTTTGCCATTAGAGACAAGTGAAGTTTTCTGCAGGTTTTTGTTCCCTGACATGTATAGAGTCCGATGCCACCCTAATCTATCACTCCAATTGGTTCGTATGTCAAATATATGGCCATGTATTCTCCAAATTACATGAGTTGACAATTATGCCAGTTTTTCAGGCTGTTCATGTAACATGTTTTCAATGCTGACTTTTGGTAACCCCATTATAGGGTTGTTTCAGCAAAGTATATTCAGAATATGTTTAACACTGCCTTCTTCTGAGGCTAAGAGTGTTGTGACCTGCCTATGGTTACTTGGTAGGTTTCCATTACTGAACAGGGATTTCAACTCTAGTCTTCTATAGTACTAGTCTAATACTCAAACCACTATGTCATGATAATAGATTGAGATAACCCCTTCAAGTATATAGGAGATCCTACAAGTCTTGGTAGAGTTTTGGGTAATTACAAAGTATATTTATTTACTCTATACCCCGCTTTTCTCAACCCCGTAGGGGACTCAAGGCTGCTTACATATATAGGCAATGATTCAATGCCATGTAAACATACATATATAGTAAAATAAATATATATATTATAACAATAATTAAAACATATCAAACCTTAAAGCAGTTATTAAAATAACGTTATCCAAAATCATAATCTATGGTCTTTCCAAATTCTCATTGTGCTATTCCATAATTCTCTAGTGTGTTATCAACTGAACACTTGATCCCTTTAGGCTTTTCCTGAATGTTTGGAAGGAGGGGACTGATCTGATTTCATTTGGGAGGGAATTCTATAGCCAAGGGGCCACCATTGAGAAGGTCCTGACTCTTGTCCCCAACAACCGCACCAGCAAAGGAGGTGGGACTAAGAGCAGATGATCTTACCCTCCTGGTTAACTAATAGAGGGAGATACATTCAGAAACTGTGGAAGTTATCTATGAACTCTAATAGTGCCTATTTCAGAAATACTTAGAATCCTCCACAAAGTCCTACAAAGTACAATTTTTGCTTTAAAAAAACCCAGCATGGTTATCAAGACACTAGTATTTATAGGGAAATAAACCTCACTAAATTCAATAGGGTTTGCTTTTGAGTAAATGTGTTACTCCTTAAAACAGAGTTTGATGTTTTCAAGCTTTTTAATCAATGTTTTTAAGGGCCAGAGCAATGGGGAGGTAGAAAAGAGGCTATCGTTAACAATGTCCCATAATATGTCAAGAATTTAGTACTATCTATTAAAATAAAGTGACATTTGATGTACTGGTTTATGGCAGTTCCAATTTAAAGGATGTTTTACGAGACTTCTCCTGAGAAAAGACTAAAAACCAACCTCACAGCAGTGGGCCAGTAATAAATTTTCTGTGTCAAATGCCAATCTTACCTGCACTTTGGCATTCACTGCCTCAGGGACTTGGTACTTCAGATCATCAGCTGTTAGTTGGGATTTCGGCAGCAAGAAAGGGTATGACAGGGATCTATATTTGGGTTTCATGATCTTGAAGATAAAACAAAACAAAAACACCCACTGAAATGGACAAAAATATATATTCATAGAGATGTGTATATTTAATTTTAATATCACCCTGAGGCTGAAACTCTGGATGTATTTTCCTGGGGCTTAATTCTGAGGAAATACGGATAGAATTGTATTGCATTTTTCTGGATTGTATTTTAGTTATGTTTCACTCTTAATACAGAAAATGACATTATGCCCACATTCAGAATGGTGACTAACCTCACAGTGTTGGAGCTCCTTAACTGAGATGGAACTGCAGAAATACATTTTCAGTTTGAAAGTTGTAGTTTGAATTATTTTATATTAAAATATATGTCTATTTCCAGCCATATATCTTTGCCTTTTCCACAGTTCTTTCTTCCTTTTGACACTTCACTAAAGGCACAGAGCCATTATTCCCATTTTCAGGCAAATTTGCCAATCAGAATTCCTACTGTCCAATTTTCATCCTTCATTAGTTTCACGAAAGTTGCCTATATAGTTTTTAGGCATGAAAACTAAAACTTCATTTTTTTAAAGCTGAAGAACTGTCTGAGTCTATATTTGTGTGGAATATTGGGTCTGATCTAAACAGGCAAAAGAAAAGAGTGGACTGATAAATACAATTCCCTACAAACACAAACAAAACCCTATACCTACCTTTGTGAAATTCCAGCGCTGAATGAAGTGCCGAGCCACATCCCGTGCAGCTTTTCCATGTACCACAGAAGCAATGTCATGCCATGGCATCCTTGGCATAGTGTAGCGATCAATGAAATCTACGTAAATGAAAAAGGAATTTTGCATAGTAGTATCAGCTGTAACATGGATTTTGCATAGGCAGTGTTCTGTAGAGCACGGCTTCTTAAATGTTTTTCCACTTACAATGCCTTTCCACCCGAGATAATTTTACATGACCCCATATAGATATATAAAATAGATATGTAAAAATCAACCACTTACTGATAACAAACCAGCATTTGCAAGGCTTGCAAAACAGATTGTCCTTTTTAAGAAGTACAATGCAAGTTGTCTAAATCAGAGGAAGGAAAACATACCAGCAAAGGGTTTATCAAGTTGAACCCAGTCTTTGAAGACAAAGTTGCAGTAATCTTTTCCATGCCAAAATCGGGTTTCACCAAGAAGCTCTCCAACACCTGTCTTCAAGCTGCGGATCGAACCTTTATCTGTCCCAAATAATCAAACATATTCAGACCTTGAAAACCTCTTGTTAACAAGTTCTCTCAACACATATTTATTTATTTATTTACTTTACTTTACTTTACTTATATACCACTGTCCTCAGCCCGAAGTTATTGCTCAGCAAGAAACATTCTAGTGTGTGGGCTTAACGTAGCTCCTGGATCTAATTCATATACTTACTCCTTTTCTTATAATTATCTTTTCATTTCTTGCCATGGCTTAGTAACAGAGCATCTGCTTTACATGTAACAGGCCCCCAGTTCAATCCTTGGCCTCTCCATGTAGGATGGAGAAAAGCCCTGAACCCTAAGAAGTCAATGGAAACAAAGATGGGCATGGGCACCATTGTTGTATCTGGAGTTCAAACCTACCCTCAAATATATATTCTTCTTTAATGAAATGTGAAGTGATTTAATGCCCATTTCTGGTATTTTAGGGTTTTTAATTAGAAGAAGCTGCATGAGGTGGCACTATCTGTGATGGCATTTGGATATACTACTCTAAATTTTGCTCCTTTTGAGGTGGCGGAAGTTCACCATAAGCCAGGAATGACTTGAAGGCACATATCATCATCATCATCATCATCATCATCATCATCATCATCAATAATAATAATAATAATAATATTTCTACCCCACCACCATCTCCCCAAAGGGGACTCGGAGCGGCTGACATGAGGCCTAGCCCAAAATTACAGTACAGCAAAATAAAATACAAAGAAGCAAATTAACATCAAAATAGAATACATGAAATAGTCAAATAAAATAAACAATTACTAAATAACATGATAAAAAATAGGACACAATGGGCGGGCCGAATGCACAGGATAAAATTGATAAATTGTATTTAACATTATGCAGTCTGTGTTGTTGACAGATAGCAAAGACACAAAGTAGCAAGCAAATCATTTCAATGTCTAAATCACTCTACTTACACTGAAGTAGTGGCTCTCAACCTGTGGATCCCCAGGTGTTTTGGCCTACAACTCCCAGAAATCCCAGCCAGTTTACCAGTTGTTAGGAATTCTGGGAGCTGAAAACCAAAACATTTGGAGACCTACAGGTTGAGAACCACTGCACTAAAGGATAGCATTATTGAATCATGTTACAGTATTACTTTAAGAATTAATGTGTAACAATGATTACATAATGTATCCAAAATGTTTATGGTATAAAATATATAAAATACAACATATATTCATAGGGTGTTTTATTTTTTACTATGACTGTTTTAGTTTTTGAATCTTAATGTATTAGTTTTATCTATATACATGTTGCCCATGTGTCTATGGAATCTCTATGTCACACCAAAACCTTATGTCTATATATTACATGTTTTAACTTTTTGTGTAGGCTGCCTTGGGAGGCCTTTGAGCATTGGCACATAAATATTGTTAGCCCTTTTGATATGAATATATAATTGATATATTGATGTATGCACTGATTAATACTGATAATATATGTAAGAAATTCTTGGTGTATATTCACACTTTTCCCCTGATCATGTCTCAATCTGAAACACAGCCTACAAAGAAAATGAATCCAGCAATCCTTCCTTCTGAAGTCCTCAAGCTGTGCCAATGTCTAGGTCCAAGTCATCACTTCGTGTTTTATCTCATATGATTGCTACCAATATGTCAACAATAACTCACTCGAATCGCTGTCTACACTGCTCACACTGTCTGCATGATGTAGGCCATGTCTGTGGAGCTGCTTGTAGATGCTGAACCTGGCAAACTTCCTAGGTTTCCCTATCCCTTTCATTCTTGAAGGATCAGGTGGGTCATCAAAGTTGCCATATGATGAGAGTTTTACTGCAGACTCTGTTGGAAGCTCAGTATTTGATGCATCGGTTGTATCAGCTAAAGACTAAGGACAGAAAAGACACAGATTAAGGGCTAATGTAATCAGTTGGGAGGGGATAAAAATACAGAAGGATAGAATCGTTGAGTTGGAAGGCCCTCTATTCATCAAAAGGCAACGATCTTTAATGGATGCCAATCAAATATTTAGTTACAAATGATTACATGGTCTGATTCTAACTAAGCCTGAGATGGGAGGTAACAAGAATCTTAAAGACTCATGGAGCTGGAAAGACCCCCATGGCCCCTCTTATCTAGTCCCCTGGGGAGAGTATACCATCTGGTCATCAGTGCTGGAATCTTCAGTTAAAGAAGTTCTTGCCTTCCTATTATTTATGGCATCCTCTTCCAAGTCAATACAATCCAAAAATATTGGCCTGCAACTCTCAGCCAACACTGAGGAAAATCTCAAAGCTCAGGCATGTTCTTGTGCATGCAAATGAGAGCAAATGCTACATTCAAGTTCCCCAGAATCAGCTTGAAAGTGGAGACATTCCACATCTATAAGCTTGGATTAAAAAAATAATACTTACAGAGAGATTTGTTGAAGACTCAGACTTCGTACTTGTCATCCGTTTTGCACTGCCAACATCAGTTAGCCGATGTTCATTGTCATCCCATCTGCCGTAAGCCAAGTCAATGCCTCCAACAAAAGCAATGGACTGATCAATGACCACTAACTTCTCATGGTGAGCCCACAAATACACAGTAGATGACACATGATCCGGGTGCCTCATCACCTTCGTAAGAAGAAAATCAGGTGCATAATCATTAAAAGCACTAATGGGATTGTATTTAACCATTTGCCTGGCTTTCAATGATGACAAAATGAGGAGAGTATATTACCTGCTCATCTGTGCTTATTTCAAAAAGTTAAAAGAAAATATCCAAAGTTTTCCCTCCTCTTTTTTGGGTGGTGGAGGGTTAAATTAAGAAATGTTTACACATTTTAAATTATTTCATTTCATTTGCTTATATCCTGTAAGACACAAAGCCGAAAAAAGTATGGTGTAGTGATCTGGTTGACACCCCTCCAGAGGCTATTTTGGGGAATGTTGCAACAAAATATTTGACCTCCTGAGGACCCTATGGGTAGAAGGCCATCAATTTGTGCATGATGTACATCCCATTTTTCCATTCTCAGTTAGCTGAGGCTGTAGAATTGCTGGGCCAGAACTTAGATGAAGTAATGGGCTCAATGAGAGCCAATATAAATACCTTAATGTTGGGATGCAAACGCATTAAGGTACGCTTGGTATACTCGCTGTTGATGCCAAGAGCAAGTTCCACCTCTTTGTAGAGCATCACAAAGATTTTCACTCCTTGTTGCTGCCAAAAAAAAAAGAGGAACATTTTCAGATAATATATGTGAGTGTGTCGATATGTATATGTGTATGTGTGTGCACATATAACTAGCTAACTAATTACTGGGGCACAAGAAGAGGGTTTAACTTGATGGTGTGCAAGAATAAGTCATTGGCTACACATGGTATCTCTTAAAAGAGCTTTGCCTGTATGCCGGAAGCCTACTTAACTTCAACATATTCTGAAGCAAGACAAATTACTTCTAGCAAGTCGCCTTTGATAATACGACGACGACTTCTAGCAAGGTTTGAACCCCTGCTTGGACGCAAATATCCATTGGATGATCTTGGGCAAGTCGCATTATCTTTATCTCAGAGAAAGTCATGACAAAGACCTATCTAAATAAAACTTCCCAAGAATACTCTACAATAGTTTTGCCTTAGGGCATGTTTAGGGTGAAAATAAGTTGGAAGTAACTTGAAGTTGTGCAACAAGAAGTCATTGGTATGCAGTGGAATATTTCCCACAAGAATATTGTTTCATCTTCCAATCTTTTTCTTCCAAAAGCAAATGTAAAAACCCACAAATTTTAAAAAACTTTCATTGCCAACAATGCCTCTGAAGGAGGTCAATATTTTTACATGCACTGCTTTCTAGATATTACTACCTATCTGTTGCTTTCAGATTTGTGACATTTTAAAACATTTTAAACAGTGACATATTGATATGTATTATATTGATAACTTATCTAAAGATTAAAGATAGTGTGCACGTATTTTACATCAACAGGCATGTAATTCTTTAGCATTGAAATTTGGAGCTAAGCTTAATGCAACAGTTGCACAACTCCCTGTTGCATGAGTTCATTTTCTGTGTTCATGGAAAAAAGACAATGTTCAGCAGCTGGGCAGTGCAACAGAGCCTGTGGATGTACTGCAGCCCCACATGAACCAACACTAGATGCCAGCACTGTCATTCTGCCTAGATAATGTGGAACTATGCCAGCTGATTTTTTCACTTTGCTGGCACTGAATTGAACCTTGAACTGAAAATTCTACCCAGCCTTTATCTCTATTCCTCAAATTTCAAGAGATATGGTTGACAACATAAAAGCTTATTTTTCAACCTGCATTTGCTTTTTAAAATAGTGAGTTCTGAAATTCTAGAATGACAATTTATAAACCCAATAACAACAACCTTTTCTGCCAAAGGTTTTTATTTTCACATTTCCAAAACATAACAGCGCATTTTAGAACATTTGCAATACTCTCTGCTGGATGTTTTATGTATTTAAATGTATCATGTTTTTGAATGAGTGGCATTTTATTTTCAGCGAACAGTACTTGGCATATTACAGGAAAGATTACAATCGAGGGATAAGGTACAAGGCTTTCCTGTTTTGTTCCTGGATTCCTGCCTAAAGGCTAATGATGGGAGTTTTTCTTATCTTACCAACATGACTAAGAAAGAGACTATAAAGCAGGAGTGGGTTTAGAGGCACCGTTGGTTCCAAGGAAACCTTGGATAGCTGTATTCTTTGCATAAGCAAACTGCACCCCAATGTCCCCAAAACACCCAAGGGAGTGTTGGAGGACAATTTCAACACACTTCCTTTTGGACTATTTAGGCTCAGAACAGGCCTTTTATGAAATATAAAATGACCTGGAAATTAACTTCTGTGTCACTTTCTGTTAGAAGAAAAAAAATGTGTTTCCTGGAACAAAAGCATCCATGCCCCTCTCCCCTCAAAAACTTGACAAAATTGCCACCTTGTCACTTAAAAGGGGGTCACTGATGTTCAGTCCTGTGAAACAAACACAGGCATGGGAAATTCACTAAAGAGATAAATCTGTCTCCCTGCCACTCACATCCAGAGAAGAGAAAGGCCCCTCACTAGAAATGAAAGGTATATATATGTGTGTGTGTGTGTTTATAGAGATACATTGTGCTCTTACATTGTTTACACCTCCAGTCTGATGTAATTTAGAATGACAAAGATTTGGATAGATTTTGTTAAGAGCCCAGATATAACTAGTTATTCTACTCACTGTACCAAATTTCCTAAAAAGTCTTCTTAAACAAGAAAAAATCCATTGATCTGGGCTTAGATATCCTGGGAAATCAAAGCAAGCTTTCATTACTTTTGGACAAACTTGCCCTTTCATTTCATCTCTTCTCAGTTTCAGCAAGATTTCTTTTATCATTCTTCATATGAAACACTTTTCATTCTCCTCTTCCCCTCCACTTCTCTCTCTGATGGGTATATAGCAGCTTTCCTTTAGTTGGTACTCTTGATATATTTGGGAATTCCCATCCAAACATCAGAGCTTATGTTCAGAAATGCGAGGAGCTGTGATCTCTTTGACATTAAATCGAATCATGTCTGACTCTGGGGTGTGTGTGTGTGTGTGTGTGCTCATCTCCATTTCTAAGCTGAAAAGCCGGCATTGTCCATAGACACCTGCTAGGTCATGTGATCGACATGACTGCATGGAGTACCGTTACCTTCCCGCCAAAGCAGTACATATTGATCTACTCACACTTGCATGTTTTCAAGTTGCTAGGTTGGTAGAAGCTGGGCCTAACAGCAGAAACTCATGCGCTCCCCAGATTAAAACTGCTGACCTTTTGGACAGCAAGTTCAGCAGGTTAGCTGTTTGACATGCTGTGCCACCAGGGCGCCCTTCCCTCTCCATACTAGTAGCTTATAAGTAGGAAGAAGCCCTTGGTCTGATTCAGGATGGCCTTTCTTATCTCTATATGTGCTTGATTGTTATTGTTGAATTTCCCATTCAGGACCAAAGTACAGCACAACACTGAAAGAAAGAACCAACTTTGCTCACTTTTTTGACCTGTAAGAACTTGGACAGGCAATTAAACTGCACTGGTAAAGGTCTTTGAGGTGGTTGGTGATTGAAAGTTCTCATTAAAATCAGCTTTCACCCAAAACTCAATAACATGGTCCAGCCAACATAACAATAAAGCATGGATGCAGCCAACTGATATGCTCTCATAATTAGATCTCTATCTTCTTGGAGTAGATCGATGCCTACCATTAGCAATGTAATGAGTCCATTTTGAATGGAGACACATATAATAAATCATGTCATCAGGGGATGGTATCTTTCTGAAAGATCCATTTGCAGTACTGCCACAACTGCCATTTGCATCATTTCACAGTCGGTGCCTTGGAATACAGCTGCCACTAGATATGAACACGGGTCATATAGTTCCTTCCATTTTGTTATGAAAAGGAGCTAGCCTTTTTGAGCAGTTAAGTCAATTATTGGACATGCTTCATGACCTGGATCCTTGCTGTGGTAATTTATAAGCAAGGAGAGTCTCCGCAGATGTCCTCTTTTCTGACATTTTGTTATTCTTGCCTCTTTCTCAAAAGGAGAGAGGAAAGGAGGATTTGTGCAGAAAAGGAAGCAAGAGAACAACAGCAATTGGGCAGAAAGTGTGACAAGCTGACTTCAAATGGGGTCAGCCTATTTTGCCAAGGGAATTTGCAATTTGAACCACACACATTTTAAATACTCTTATACTCCATAACTATTCTTATCATAACATGGACAAGAGTGATGTTGCCCACATTGTCTCCTCTAATATCTCCATTGTCTCTGGGTCTAGTTCAAACTCTCCAGGTTGCACTCTCCAGGTTGCACCTCCAGAAAGGAGCCCCCGGTGGTGCAGCGGGTTAAACCCCTGTGCTGGCGGGACTGAAGACCGACCGGTCACAGGTTCAAATCTGGGGAGAGGTGGATGAGCTCCCTCTACCAGCTCTAGCTCCTCATGCGGGGGCATGAGAGAAGCCTCCCACAAGGATGATAAAACATCAAAATCATCCGGGCGTCCCCTGGGCAACATCCTTGCAGACGGCCAATTCTCTCACATCAGAAATCTCTGAGGGCTACTTTTCTTATAAAAGAAGGACACTGCCGGTCTGCCAAGTTTTAAAGTAATGCACACACACACATATCAGCACATACATTTTAAAAAACCCACAGCAGAAATGGCCTTCTGGGTATTCTAGAAAGAGATAATGTAGCTTGCTGGAAGTCCAGGGGTGATGGGAAATGCCTCCTGGACCTTTCAAAGATGCCTACCTCTGCTATACAGGAAATGCTGCTACTCAACATAAGCTCTGGGGACCGAAGTTATAATTCCAGTTAAGACAAAAATTGAAAAAAAATGTGTGAAGAAGATATTATTGTGTTGTAGTTGAGAGTGCCAGTCTGAGACTTGGGAGATTATAATGTAGTGCAGACATGAGCAACTACGCTGAAACCAGGGGCCACTTTTTCTTCCCATGTCTCCATGATGGGTTGAATCAACATATGATTTCTGGACTCCTTTCACACTACACAATAATTATGCCATAATCTCACCGTAACTTCCTATTTAATCCTGGGATTCATAGTTTGGATTTGGGGAGCCACTATAGTTCTCTGTCAGTCCTCCCAAAACTCTTTTAGGATTCCATAGATGTCAAAATGAAAAAAATGGAAGCATAGTGTTATAATTGTGCAGCACTATAAATTGTGCAGCACTGTGAGGATGCTATAAGGCTATAACTCTGAAGTGTGAGAGGATCCCAAGTGCCAGTTTTGCTTGATTTTTTGGCCATTTGGAAATATATGGGCAGTTTTTAAGGGTCAATGTGTTTCTGAGCTGTTCTGGGGTGAAAAACTATCCTTTTCTTTTTAAAAAGGTGCTCAGGGTTTCAAGGCACTAATCTAAGAAAACTATCTCAGGCCCCTTCTACACAGCTATATAAAATCCAGATTATCTGCTTTGAATTGGATTACATGGCAGTGTAGACTCAGATAATCCAGTTCAAAGCAGATAATGTGGATTATTTGCCTTGAAATTCTGGATTATATGGCAGTGTGGAAGGTCCTCTGCCACCAGTTCTCTAAGGCTTCTTCCATACTACCTCTATATCCCAGGATCTGATCCCAGATTAGTTTCTTATGCCAGATTACCTGGCAGTGAAGATTCATATAATCCAGTTTAAATCAGATAATCTGGGATCAGATCCTGGAATTTAGGGCAGTATAGAAGCCCCTTAGGTAATCATGCAGATGAGCCAATACCCAAACTCAGCCTACTTGTCAACATTTTGCAATGCTTGGAGATCAAGGCATACTTACAGCTTTCCTCCTCAAAATACAGTCTAATCTCCAACGATTTCCTTCCACCACTGGACGCTTCATGAATATTTCAGGGCTCAGCCTGAAGAAAAACACACAAATGTGACATCAAATATATATTTAAAAATGAACATACCTTCAAGGAGATAGAAACTATTGGGCTAGGTGGCATCACAACAAGGTGAAAGCAGGTCCCTTCACAACTTTGGGCTGTAGGTCCCCAACAAGAGCATATGCTCTGCGGGGAAGATGCTTCTGGCATCTCCAGATAAAACTGAGGGCCTGACTACATGGGCCACATAACTAAACTGGGTGCAAGGTTCCTCCTGGATGTCCATGTGACTTATGGACTCTAACATGGGGTGAAACCATTTAAGCCAATTTTACTCTCCATCAGTAGATGTTGGGGGAATGCTCCGGGGCTTCTCTGGTATGAAGAGCTGGGTCAGTTCTGGTTCAAACTATGATTCCAGGATTTATGTATTTTTTTAAAAAGTTTCAAATCCTTTCATTGGGCTGCTAAAGTAATGAGAAAAGTGAGTAAGGTAACAACAACTTTTTTCCATGGGTAGCAGACGCCCAAGGTGAAAGCTAAGCACCAGTTTTATAGAAACTTCTGCCTTCAGTGTGTGTGTGGTTCTTTTTTTAATGGCTGGTTCTTTTTTGTTTCCCAGCCAAGTGTCCTGAAAAGGCCTCTTTAGGGGGGAAAAATCCCACAACAACAAACCCTCTCTCTATGAGATGGTTGTTTCTGCTGCCAAACCATCTGGTCCCGCTGTGAGGTTTCCATGCTGAAAAGGGCCCCGAACAGTGCAGCCTTGTCATAAAATGTTCTGTGAGGTATCTGGCAAGGGAGGAGGAATATGATCATGCAAATTAAATACAAACCACCAATCTGTGATGAAAATCTCTTCTTTGGCAGCCTCCATTGCATTTGCAACGTCTTCAAAGTACCCCTTTGCATTCACATACCTAGGAGCAAAATATTTCAAGTCAGAGTCACTCCTTTTAGTAATTAGCACCTTGTTCTGAGGTGAAAAATTGCCCTTTTACAAAAAAGAAGCTCAATTTATATATATATATATATATATAGAGAGAGAGAGAGAGAGAGAGAGAGAGAGAGAACCCTGCCATCATCTCCCCAAAGGGACACAGGTTGGCTCATAGAAGCACTCTAAGTGCCACATGCAGACAATAATACATAAGTATAAATACAAAGACATATGTATAATCAAATGCATATTTAAAAAATCGCATTAATAAAACATAAATAACTGAAAATTATAAAATTCCTAAAACACAGTGGAACCTGCCAGCCGGCTTTATGTCATAACAATCAAAGTGCAGGCCAGTACTGTCAATAATTCATCACATCAGGATCAAAGGCCTGTCTGAACAGTCATGTTTTAGATTCACCCAGAAGCCTGAAGAGTAAGAGCTAAACTAATTTCTTTAGGGAGAGTATTCCAGAGCCAAGAAGCCACCACCGAGAAGGCCCTCTCTCTCGACCCCACCAACCATGCTTGAGACAGTGGTGGGACCTAAAGAAAATTTCATTCATTCATTCATTCATTCACACACACACACACACACACACCTATATCTATATATATATGTGTGGCATAAGCAATCCATGGTTCTAAATGGTTCTAAAGTACTTACAAAACTAGAGGGCACTGGTGCTTTGCTCCTAAAGTGTTGCTAAAGCTGGTGCTTTGCTTCAAAAGTGTTGCTAAAATTCTGCTGGTGAAAATTTCAGAACTCTAACAAAACTTTCAACATTTTGTTATTATTTTTATTGGCAATTTTTATGGCAGAATCAATTAGGAACTGCCATTTATAATGAAATTTTGAAAGTTTTGTTAGAGTTTTGAAATTTTCACCACCAGAACTATAGCAACACGTTAGAAGCAAAGCACCAATGCCCCTTAGTTTTTTAAGTACTTTAGAACCATTTAGAATCATGGATTGCCCATGCCCAAATATATAGTTCATTTTAGCATGAAAAAATATAAGGGGACCTAAATATTAAAACTAAATAAAGGATAAAGGAATGAAATTTTGTGTCCACAAAAACTCATGATAGACATTTCATTTTCCCAGTTAGTCTCCAACCGACTATTGGAGTCCCTTGGGTGTAATGGCAATGGAAATATGACCGAATGAACAACCTCACATGCGTCTTCATACATAAACTGTAGAATATTTACAGGCTTTTTAAAATGGCTAGTTCTCCAACCCACATTTCCTTTTCTACTGTCTTCAACTGAATGTGCTCATTCTTCATCTGATAAAAATGTCCAATTGCTTCTGTAATGGAACTTAAACATAGTTAAAACACCAGCCAGGGATTTGGTTACTCAAACAAGAGTTAATAAGAAAGAGTATAAGAACATAGGAGAAACCTGTGCTAGATCAAACAGATTCATCTAGTTCACTAGTTTCTTTTCATAGTAGCCAACTATTGTTCTATGATTTTATGGTTGCAGAGGCCCAGCACAAGAACCTGAATGCAATTCTCCAACAGATATACAGTGGCCTCTTGGTATCCACAAGTGTTTGGTTCCAGGAGCTCACATGGATAGCCAAAAGCATGGATACTGGGGTCCTTATAAATAAATTCTTTAGGCTCCTCTGCTTCTAGGGAGTATGGCAAACATCCTATTCTGCCTTCTGATGATTGGTTGAATCCATGAATACTGAGTTTGCAGATATAGTGGGTCCATTGTAGATATGGGTCTACTAGAATCAAATGGGCTCATTATTATTGGGATTACAGGGTTATAGTTAAGTCTGAAAACCAAGATTTCCATCCCTTCTTTGAGGAAGTTCCTATGCCATTAACAGGTACACAATACACAGAATAACAACAGGCCTTCTGTTAATGAATCTTGAGACTGGGAAGAGCTACCAGAGCAGTGTCCCACCCAATCTTACCATTTTGCTAAGGTGTTCTCCTGGACAGCTGCATAAGAACCAAACCGATGATGCTGGAGAAAGTTCTTGCCATTTTTCTGTATGAATGCTTCTATTCCTTGACCCCACCAGAGAGCATGTCTATAGCTATTGCATTTCAAAATCAGAGACCTGGGAGGGAAAAGAAAGACAACATGATGGGAAAGGAAAGAGGAAACCTCGCAGCCCAATTTTGAACGGAGGGAAGAATTTTATTTTATTATCAATGGGCATAGCTTTGTTTGAGAGACTTGATTCAACATCTAGAATTATGGAGATGGGGATGTACATTTTAATCAAAATTATAAGCCACCTTACCCTCACATTGGGGAAAAGATAGAATATTCATTAATTAAATATGATATTAATTAATTAAACTCCAACCCTCTTCCACTGAGAAAAACTTCTTTTTGTATTCTTACAGAAAACTGGCAGAAAGAAGATTAATACCTTGTTCAATGCACAAAAATGACCTTTTGCCACTAAGCAGCATGCAGGATTTGTAACTGAGTGACCTGAGTTGAAAGTCCTGCTAGTTGGACTTGATGATTGATCATATCTGAAATTCAGTTACCTATTCACATAACAAGAAATGTGACTGAGCTCAGTGCTGTTAGCAAGAATGAGATCCAAAAATTCAAAGTTATTCCCAAATTCAAAGTGCTTTCAATATGATTGATAGACAGCATTTTAGGACAATTTTACTTAAAGTGATAGACAGTTCATTAATCAGTACAATTTCATGAGCCATCCATTGCTGGTTTATAGTGGGGTTGATACTTGTCCATGGGATATGTACTGAATACCACATCAACTCTAAACAAAAAGGCTTTATACTTTAGTATTCTCATGGGTTTCTTGAATAGCCATGAAGAACCCATTCAATTACAAATTCCAGGATGTTGAATTTGGTTACACTATATTAGCTCTTTGTAGCTACCAAAGAGGTTCAAATCTATTAAAAAATAAGCATGGCAACTGGGGAATTCTGGGAACTATAGTCCATAAAATTACATTTACCACCTCTGCTTGTTATATCGACATGTGTTACGGCTTGGAAACACATGTAAAACACTTTGCAGACTACAAATGATAGGCAAATAATGAGGAATAGCCATGCAAAGTGAGATCTATAAAATTCTCACCTGGAGAGATTGTCTATTCGAAGTCCATATTTTGTTTCTGTTTCCTTCTTGCCAATCTTTATTCTGAATTCTTTATCTACCAGGAGGACAAAAGAAATGGCTCCACTGTCTGGCTTCATGTACAGTAGAAAAGAATCCTTTACTACTAACCACCTGGGAAAGAGATTCAACAAATGTATATTCAGTTGAGCTCCAATTAATCAGAATATTATTTACATATTTATTTACAATAGTTTCAGATGGTCCCTCTGTTCAAGACAACAACAAAAAAGTTACAAAAACTACAAAGCGCTGGGCCTTGTACAAGAATGTCCCTAGTTAACCAGACATCACATTTTGTTTTGTTTTGTTTTTCATCTTCAATGCCCACCTGCAATCTTTGCTTTAAACACAAATACAGACTTCTAGCCAAAACTCAAATGGCAAAAGTAGCCGATTCAATTAATGGTAAAAAAAACTGTTGCTCACTTTTGTGCAATGTGAATTTCCTGTAACATACTACCTTGTCAATTGTGCTGGAATACCACAAGTGGTTTACTGCAGAAAACATGCTTTCTTCTTTTTAAATCTGAAAATTGCCTTAGGTTCCAACAACTAGAATACGAAAAAAACTCAGATTGAATGATGCTCTTGGTGTGAGCCAGCTGAGTGCCTTGTACAAACTCCACCTCTTCATGTGAGTCCCCTCTTGTAGCCCTTGTATAACCTGGATAAATACAAGGGCTGCAAGGGGAAGCTGAGACAGTGTCAGTGTTCATTGTCTCTCTATCTCATGAAACCCAGTTTTCAAGACAATATACTCCATGGTCCCAGCACAGTAAGGCCAATATGTTCAAGTCAGTTTTCCTAATGGTTTATTTATAAAGGTACACTTACTTAACTCCATCAAGCTTCAAGGAAAGAAGCTTTGGTTTTGACAATATTTAATTGCCTAGCAACAGCTCCATGGCATTAAAAAACACAGATTGGAGTTCTGAGGGGTTTTTTTCCTATGCAGTTTTTTGTACGCTCAGCACAGACTTCCAAGTACCGTGGGAGAAAAAAGGGAGGAGAATTCCTTTTCATTTTAAAGTTATTTATATTTTCTAGGTATGTGTGCATGTAATACATGTTTTGTAAGATCCTATTCTTGGAGTGGATGCATTTGACTGAGGAGGAGTAGATACCACTCTAGTGTCTTAACCATCTGCCTATTGAGATCGCTTCTAAGACCCTTTCTACACTGCCATAAAATCCGGATTATAAAACAGATAATCCACATTATCTTCTTTGAACTAGTTTATATGAATCTACACTACCATATAATCCAGTTCAAAACAGATAATCTATATTTTAAATGGCAGTGTAGATGGGACTTAAGTTATTCTCCAGATCATGAGGACTAGTGCCACCTTAACATCCTTTAGTTACTTCCCGATGGATATAGTAAAGATCGGTCCAGACCCTACCTATGTAAATGCAGATTTAGTGGCATCAGAGCCATTCTACATATTCTTCTCCAATCATGAGGTCAGGCAAAAGCAATTTGCATAGGACTTCACATGCAACGTTCCAGAACACACAAAAATGCAACTGAGGTTATCAGGAATAGTATCTGGATGTGACAAATGAGCTCAGTGGAAACAATGATTTTAGTATAATATGGACTTTCCCACTAAGTCAAAGGCAAAACTTCTGCATCATGTTTGCAAAATGAAGTTCTTCAATACAAGTCTTGTGATTCTCAACAAGGACAATAAAGCAGGGGACCACAATGCACATTTACTAAGCTGCTTCAAAGGCTTTTTTGCATTTGTTTCTAGCACACAAAGAAAGACATTTCCAAAAATGGAGAAGAAAAAAATAGACAGATGGCAACTATGTTGTTGAAAAAGGAAATGGTTTAAACAGAACCATAATCCTAAACATGTCTACTCAGAAGCCTGCAACCGGATTTGAAGTCTAATAAATCTGTTTGAGCTGAAACTGTGGCGGCTGTTATTGGTATGACTTCCATACTGGGATGGTGATGAATCCATTTTGGATTTTGACCTGGTTTGGCTGGAAAATCTACCCAAGGTGATAAACAATATCATCCAAATAGTTTAAGTTCTTTGGATAGCTTCATTAGAATCACAGAATCATGGAGTTGGAAGAGACCTCGTGGGCTATCCAGTCCAACCCCCTGCCAAGAAGCAGGAAAATCACATTCAAAGCACCCCCGACAGATGGCCATCCAACCTCTGTTTAAAAGTCTCCAAAGAAGTAGCCTCCACCACACTCTAGCGCAGAGAGTTCCATTGCTGAAACAGCTTTCACAGTTAGGAAGTTCTTCCTAATATTCAGGTGGAACCTCCTTTCCTGTAGTTTGAAGCCATTGTTCTGTGTCCTAATCTCCAGAGGAGCAGAAAACAAGCTTGCTCCCTCCTCCCTATGACTTCCCCTGACATAATGTCTTTTCTCAGCCTTCTCTTCTGCAGACTAAACATGTCCAGCTCTTTAATCTGCTCCTCATAGGGCATGTTCTCCAGACCCTTCATCATTTAAGCAGGTGGTATCTGCTGCTTCTGGGGCAAAGCGTACATGAGTAAAAAACAGGTGGCAGGAAAGAGGCAATGAATAGATTATGCTGGAAGAATTGGGAGGAACCAGTCATAGCTCTAAAGCAGAAGTCAGCTTTTTGAACAATAACACATAACTGAATCTGTCTTTTTAAAATGTTTCTTTTACACAGAATAAAGATTTTTTAAAAATCCAAAAACTTTATATTAATTAATATAATGAATTATGCTGCTAAGCATTGCTGTCTCAACATTGACTCCTTTGTTTGTAAAGCTATAGCTGGACATATATATCAGTTAACTTTTTAATTCCTTTCTGGTATATCACTTTAATATTGTTATAGAGCAGGTGAAGGAATCATGTAGATGTGGCTACCACCATTACTAACAAGTGGTTATGCTGCTTCGGGCTGTTTGGAACTGCAATCTAAGAGTATCTGGGAAGTTGGATATATTTCCCCTGTATTACACATCCTGACTATTCAACATGAGTTTGCTTTACAATACACTTTCTGTACTTGGATCGCTGTCTGGAATAAAAACATCCCAAAAATGGTGAAATTGCCATTTCTGCTAAATGGTGAATTAGCAGAATATCAAAATATGGTCAATGAAGTAAATTATTTCCAGAATGATTCTATGATTCTAAGAAGAACTTATAGAACTAAATACAAATGGGAATTTGCATTTAATATAATATGCTTCTGTTTGTTTCCAGATTCAGACTCCTATTTCAAGAATTATATAGGAGTACTATTACAGGTCTTGCCCCTGCAAAGAGCGCATGCTCAATACACACAGGGCAGCTGTTGCGGATCATGAATTATTTGTAGAACCTGCAGCTTATGAAAGCATCAGCAGGTGTTGCTGTCAATATGTTCAGTACAAAGATCCGAGAACAATTCTGAATTAAAAACTGTAAAGAGAAATATCCACAAAGATACCTTTTGGACCATCGGTAGCAGAGTCTTCCTTGCCCACAGCAATTCAGGCCAGGGATTCTGTGACCTCCAGACCTTTTCATGATCATACCCTCTCTGAAAGTAAAGGAAGAAGAAGAGAAACGTTACTTTAGCGAGCTCCTGGAAAACAGCTTAGCAGGAAGCTGCCATGGAGCTATAGGAGCTCAAGACCTACTCACTCTTGAAAATTTCAGGCAGAAATTTTGATAATGAAAGAATTAACCTAAGTTCATCCTCGTTTTCCAAAGGTAATGCTAATGCAACCCTTTAAAAGATGGGTGGAAGCATGCCACATATGGATGTTGTTGGACTGGAACTCCCTTATCTTTGGTTCAGTTGCATAGGGTTGGTCAGACATCCAAAGTTCAACTTGAGGAAATCTACAAGAGGCCCACGATTTGCCCAACTGGGGGTTTAATTGTTCAGGAAAACTTGCATAGGTTGACACTGTTAGGTTGAATAGCACAGACAGTCTTGGAACAGAATATCTTATGTAATTTGTTGGATCATGTAAAAATCAGTTGGTGTGTTAACTGAAAATGCAAAGCTCATTGGCTCAGCCATGCCCAGAAGCTAGCTGAGCCTGGGACTTCTGGCAATAGTTACATATTCAGGCTACTAGCGATGCAGGAGTTTGCAGAGAGAGACAGTTTATTTATTTTATTTATTTCGAGGTTTTATATACCGACCCTCTCACCTTCAAAGAGGGATTCGGACCGGTTCACAACATGTGTTAACATACAAAGAATATACAATAACAACACAATGCCACTTCATACCACGATTAAAATATCAGCACCATACACATTAAAACATTATCATCACAGTTAAAAGAGCCAAATCATCCGACACCATCACAATACCATTCATCATCCTCCTTTCATGTGGGCAAAGAATTAAATCAGTTGTCAAATGCCGCGTTCCACAACCAGGTCTTTGTTAGTTTCCTAAACATCATGAGGGAGGGGGCAGTTCTGATCTCTAATGACAGGGAGTTCCAAAGTCGAGGGGCCACCATCGAGAAGGCCCTGTCCCTCGTCCCCACCAGCCGTGCCTGTGAAGGTGGTGGGACCGAGAGCAGGGCCCCTCCAGACGATCTTAGTGGTCTTGATGGTTCGTAGGGGAGAATACGTTCGGAGAGGTAAACAGGGCCGGAGTCGTTTAGGGCTTTATAGGTTAACACCAGCACTTTGAATTGTGCTCGGAAGCTAATCGGCAGCCAGTGGAGTTCGAGTAACAGTGGAGTGGTGTGCTCCATGTACCCAGCCCCCGTTAGTAATCTGGCTGCCGCGCGTTGTACTGATACATA